TTGAAATTTCCAGCCATAACGTTCTGAAACTGTGTTAGTTGGCTGATATTTTAATTTGTTGGGTGTGAGGACATAGTTTGACATAAAAAAGACGGTAATTAGAACTCGAATTGAAGTAAATAAGGTTTTTTATGATACCGATTTACCAAAAATGGAAGAACAAAAAACTAAATTTATTATACATGCACCTATTATATCTGCATCTAGTTTATTTATTGCATTATCATTTTCTGTTAATTTTGACTTCGTTTTTGCGAGAAAGGCATTTAGCCAATAGGAACGGCTAGCGATTTTAATTGATTGAAATTTTTCCAGCATTCGGTCCCTCCAGCATGAGATCTTTCCCCGTGTAACAGGTTGATTTATTGTTTTTGTTTTACATTGCTGCTGTCAAATTTGTTTTGTTTTGTTCTCTTCTTGTTTTCGTTCTGCTCTCAGGTACTGCGTGGAGTCAAAATCCAATTTGCCCACTTTCTTGCAGTACCTGAATAAGTTTTGTTCCTTATACACGAGGGCCGGCACGTTTTGAAGTTAAACTAATTTCTATAATCAACGGCGTTTAGTGATTTATTCTCATTTAAAATTTATTTCAGTGTTTCAGTGTTTTGTTTCTTTCAGATAATTTCAGTGTTTTGTTGTTGATAGGGCTCGAACGTTGGAGCTTCGCAGCGCATTTGATAATTGGGAAAATTCTTTGTGGATACGAATTTATTTCGTGAGAATATGAGCGAATTTTGACCTATAAAACTGGTGTTTTTACCTAACTAGACAGGTGAGTTTGCAGTCTGCTGAGTGTTCCTTTGCAAGTATATGGAAACATATGGAAATTAAGTTACAGAAAGGTTTTAGGGTCTACTTGCGCGACTAAGCTGCGAAAAATCTCGAGAGATCCTTGACGTACTGCTCTCTCATACGTGATGGTAAGTTTTTGTTTTAGTTGAAACATTTCCTGTAGGGCTTTTGTCTTTTTGAGATGCGTTTTGGCCTTTTTCGAGATAGTTTTATGTCATTTTGTGACGTTTTCGCCTTTTCCTAGACTAAATTTTGAATTTCTCTGATACTTGATTATCTTAAAAGGAAGAAAAGCTCCAAATGTATATATGCGTCTTGATTAATATTCAGACATCTTTAAGAGTTTTTTGTCTCTTATGTCTCTTCTGAAAAAAGATTCCAGATTTTTTTATCCTTATTTTTGTCTGGAAAGACGTCTATGACAGTAGATGAAAGCTCAAACTTTATTCCGAAATGGTTTTTTTTACATGCGACTTCATATCTGTCGCAAGTATGACTTGATTTATGGCAATTATGTCATTTCCTCCCCTAAAGTTTATTGAATCGAGGCTTGCTCATGGTTTAATTGACCTAACATATAGAACTTTGCTACCTTGATTCAGTTTCCAGAAGTATAAGACGGAGAAATTCTTTTATGTCAAGGAAAGGCAGAAGAAATTTTTTTAATAAATGAATAAAAACTAAAACTTAAGATTGTTACAGGCTAAAACTTTTGTTCTAATGCAAACTCTAAACAAGATTGCTCGTATAAATGTTTTTTTTTGAAATTTGAGATTTTTTTGTGAAAATCATCCCCCACATGCCATATAAAGTACAAAGTGATAGATATGCTCCTACTAAAAAACCAATTATGGCAAATTAGCTTCCTTTAACCAATTTGGAATGATATATCGCGCTTTAATTGTCCCAAATTGGCCAAAATGGCAAGCGATAAGCCCCCATAACTTAACGAAGTATAATTACAGGTAAAATATTTTTTCTAATTAAACCTCAAGACATCAATACCCTTCGAATTATTTTAAAAAAACTCCTTCAAAAATGGCTAGTTGAAAAGTTGAAATTTGTCTGACCTCATGGTTTGTTTTTGACCGCTTTTTCCCCTTCAATTCTGGTTGCCAAGTTCTGGTTGCCACGTCCCCCTTTGGTATAATTTAAAAAATCCATAAAGTGCCTAAAACACGTTTTGTGGCCTGTTTTTCCAAAAGTTTGCTTGAGGCGCAAAAAATTTTGACAGAGTAGGGTCCTTATAGTGTTTTAAGAGAGCTCGGAAAATCAAATTGGTCGATTTAAAAAAAAGTCGACAAAGTTTTCAAACTCTCTTTTTTTGAAAAACCGCTCCGTTCTAGAAAAAATTCAGCCTGCGCACGCCACTGTTCACGGATCACATTGAAGGTTCTCTGGAATGGCAGGAGTTGAATTTTTCAGTTTTATATGATAAAATATAATCAAAATCTAACCAAAAAAAAAACAAGCCACGATTTTCAGCGCTTGAGTTTTTCGACACAAAGACCTCATAGCCATATATAAAAAGCTATATATTTTTTTGTAATAGTATTGAGTGAAACTCAATTTATGTTTGACTTGACATTTAACAATACGTGGTTACATCTGCGATTCATTACCGTCTAACCTGTTGGTTTTCTCATATGATAAAACTTTTCGTATTTGTATTCAGGGCGAAACACAAATATAAAGCAAAACACAAAAAAGTTACAAGGAAAAAATGCTTGAAATATAATTCTATTGTATAGAAAAAATGGATATCATATCATTTTTATACAACATTTTGTTTCTTTGAATTTGTATGACAAGCATTTTTTACATAGTATGGAATTGCATGATAAGCATTTTTTTTAACGTCCCTTTATAATTTTGCGCCTTTATAATTTAAGCAAATTAGCTTGTAATTAGTTGATTGAACGCGTAAGGCTTTACTTGCCAGCTCGCTTGAGCAAAAAGAAAATACAAAAATCATCCACGTGGGTTCGCTCCATTTGCACGTGTGTTATTGAAGAGAGTACAGTGCTGAGTAAAATTATTATCCGGACGCAACGAACAAAAATGAAAATTCCAACGCGTTTTATCAACAAAAAGTGAACAGAATAATAGTTTCTTAGATTTTGACCGGAATTAGGTTGGTGCAATTTTCCCCAAAATTCTTAACCATAACTTTGATCCAAAATTGTGCCATTTTTGATTTTTTTTACTTATCAAGAATTATGCTGCAACTATCAAATTAATTGATGAGAAAGTTATATCAAAAGAAGCCTCGTACATAGCTCAACAAAGTTCTATAAGGTTGAATTTCCAAAAATCTGTATAAGAGAATATATTTTTGATTGATAGTTTTTGATTACTTTTTTATTGATAGCTTTTGATTGATTACGATGTAAAAATTAAATTGTCCGATTTGTTAGCCTCAATTCAATTTTGAACCATTTTGTTATGCGGGATAATTCACAAGCATAAACATTTCACCTTAAATTTTCAGGATTATGAGTAATATCTAGTCCAGATCATAGCCAATTTGGCTCTTACCAGAACTTTGCAATAAATGATCGGAGTGAAAAAAATATCTTTTTATTTGGTTTTGATGAGTGGATATTTTCAATGGGGTAAAAAAACTCATTAAAAACTATGATATTGGTCGCCGAAAACTGACTAAATAAAAAATCACATCAAGCATAAATATTCCATTTTTTTTTTCCAAAATCGCAACAATTACAATGAAATCGAAAACTAAATCGCGAAGTAATTAATTTCAAATCAACACTTTTTTGAATTTTAGAGGAAGCCAATCCAAAATTGAATCCACTAACTAAATGCTTTCTTTTTATTGCTTAACACTAAAAGTTATGAGATATCGAATTCACAGCAAAAGGGGTAATCGTTAGAGTTTATAATCGACGACTGACATCTAAATACTCAGTGAGGCTCTAAAATTTTGTTTATGGTCGAAACATTTCAACCAAAAATAGCACCGAAAATTTTAAAGAGTATATTATATTCTCTACGGAATGTATTTGGTGTGAGTGAATTACCCTGCGTGCAATTGAGATTAATTCTAGCGTCTTGTAAACAATTTTCATCTCAATTTTTCAAAAGATTTAGAAATTTTCTTGTTCACCCAACATGGATCAATCTTTTAAAATCAATCTTAAAAAAAATTCCAAACTCAAAGCCTCAGATCGCACAGAGGAGTTTAATAGAAGTTTACGAACCTATCTAGAAAAATTTCTCAAAACGCATCATTTTGATCAAAGCAGATGGGATGGAATGATAGATCTTAATGTTTTTGTGAGATTTTTCAAGATATAAAAAAAACTTGTCTGACTTTCTTTTGATTGATGTAGAGCAAGTAGTTCGTATTTTTCTTTCTTTCAAGATTAATTAACGCGAGGTAACAAGGAAAAGTAATATACAATTCTCTGACTCCTGCCTTAAAAATTTATTTAGGTTACCTTAACTTGCGCTGAAAAGTAAGTTGAATTCTCAAATCCTCCGCATTTTTGATGCACGAACGAAAAAATCGCTGTTTTCACGACAGAACCGATGGTCAGTTAGCCGATACAAGATGATCACAGAATACATCTAAGTTATTACGTAGGCTAACTACACAAAAATGTGGTGATATAAAACAATAGGTGTGGCAGGTTCTCCCAGTTTCTCATAGTTATTTAAAAACCCACATTTTATGGCAACAGAAGTGTTAAACTTGAATTGTTGAATAACTTTCATCAGATTGAATTAAGTTTTTATGAAATTTTAGTAGCTTTTACAATTGATTAAAATATAGAACGGATTTCTGTGTCACTTTTTAAACGTAATACAAGCACTTTTCTCAAAATTACCACCTATTGTAACAGATTAATGAAAATTTTACGCAAATTTCTCAGTTTTCTACTTAAACCAACTCCACAAAATCTCACATTTCTCAATTCCACAAATTCTCAATTTTAGTTTTGACAAATTTCTTAGATTGCCATGTGTTCACAATAACCAATTTGAATTGAATCTTAGATGCGATTTTAGTTCGCAAATCCAATTGCTCCCTGCTGGGGTTTCATAAGGAATTTCTCGTGGAAAGAGAAAAGAAAGAAGAAAGAGAGAGAGAGAGAGAGAGAGACGGGGCGTGGAAGAGAGAGAGAGAGAGCGAGAGAGAGAGAGAGAGAGAGAGGAGAGACCATTTTTGATATTGAAAAAGACAGTCCGTGAAAACTTCAATTTAATCAAATATAAAATTTTCAGCATTAAAAAACGGATGACTTAACTCTCTGTTAAAGCTAGATAGTGTAGATCAACTTTTTTATGGGTGTAGATCAACTTTTTATAGTGTAGATCAACTTTTTACTTCCTAATCGCACTTAAAACCCTAAAGGGCAAAAAAACTATAACTCTGTACTTCATTGTAATCCATTCAAGTTTTTTTGCCCTTTATAAAAACAAAAATTACCTTGTTAGCAAAAGCCACAATTACCGAGGCTCATTTAGTGTAGAAATAATATAAAGTTTGTAGCATAGGTTGATTTAATTTTGAAAGTTATAATCAAACTTCAAGCAAGCCGTTGCTCGGTTTTCTGAAGAGGTTCTTAGTTCTCCAGAATGTTGAATGTAGAGTCGAAATGTGTCTGTTCTCGGAATGTCTGAAAGTCCTCGTTTCTGTCTCTGATCCACTGTTTCATCAATTTACTCTTGTCGCATATAATCTGTCCAGTTATTTTGGCCAGTTCATTCACGTGGTCCGTTTGGAAGTCAATGCCTTCATAGTAGTTCCGGAGCTGACTCTCTTCGAACTGCTTCTGTTCTATTTCCTTCAGCATTTCTGGCTTTAGAGGAACGTCGAGCTCACCTGAATCATACAACTATGAATACTCAATCTTTGAAAACTATAGCCAAATAGCTCTTTCAAACTCAGTTCCAAGTGATGGCGAGAGAATATCGGAAGTAAAAATATTTGTTAAGCATCATTAAACTCTTGCTTGTCACACGAACTTAAAATCTTGGACATAGGGTCCTTACAATTTACTATCCAACATCAAAGATTACCGTTTTTTATCTGATCAATTAAAACCCCATTAATTTCCTAAAAATTTTCCAACTAAATGAGATATGATCAAGTAACGCTTGTTACGAGCAAGCAAATTAGACTTAAACACGAGCAGGCCGCTCTCTCACCTTTGATAATTTTTGCACATAAATGTCCCTGGAGCCAGAACATCGGGTATGTGTAGAACTGGTTCTGCATGCCAATGTAGAACAGCTTTGGGTTGTCGGGGAACACTACTTGTTTGTACAGTGGCACAGCCAGCCTGTTTCCAGTCTTTAGTTTGAGATCATCTTCCATGAAAGGAAAGTTGTGAACGTAGCCAGTGCAATAGATTATGACGTCATATTCTTCCTTGGATCCGTCTTGGAAGCTAAAAGAAGAATAAAAACACATTGCGACACAGTTACTGCACAAAACGTTGAGGTAAGCACGCACCTTAGATTTTAGGGCCTCCGCTAATATACATACCAAAAACGGTGTAATGCAACTTAACGCCAAACAATTTAACATCAAACGTTTTAGTATCAGTCGTTTCACTCCTTCACAACTTAACTCCGAGCAATTCAAAACTTTGAAACTGCGATACAGATTGTTTTCCTTAGCTTTCCAGTGAGATGCGTATGTTTTTACGGTCCGAAAAAATCATTGTAGCAAACATTTGTACCACCGATATGTATTTTCACAGGTGAACATGAAGCACTATTTACCTAACTGTGTTGCCATCGATGTTTTCGAGAAGCGGCCTGACATCTATGCCCCCTGGGTAGTTCAGCGGCTGTGGTTTGGTTTTGTACGATATGGTGACATACTGGGCGCCTGCTCGCAAAGAGTGCATCGCTATGTCTTCGGCGGAAAAAGAGGATCCCACAACCAGAACTCTCTTTCCTACAGAAAGTGAAAGAGTTTCTTATTTCTTCATTTCAATGTCGCATTTTCAAGAATTGATTTTCTTTTCAATTTTCAGATTTTGTTTTTCTGTTATTCTCATTCAATAATGTTTTCAGAGTTTTCAGTAGATGTTTTAGAGTTTTCAGAGTTCGGCCGAATCAGACCTAAAATTTTGGCTGCTAATTGACAACTTATTTCTTGCATAGACTACTTGCTATACAAACCTTTATATCTAGAACCGTCAATGAACTGTTTGGAGTGAATAATCTTCCCTTTAAAAGTCTCCTGGCCAGGATACGTTGCGTCATTTGGATAGTTGAAGTGCCCTGTTGCCACTATTACGTAGTCAAACGTCTCTATTTCTTCCTGTTGAGCCACCAGATCCTTAACTTTGACGCTGAATTTTTTCGTTGTCTGGTCAAAAGATACATTTTGAACCCAAGTGTTGAATTTGATGTATTTCTCGAGTCGAAATTTGAGTGCAAAGCTTTGCAGATATTTCAGCATGTTGGACCTCTCAGGGTAGCAAGGTTTCGTATCCTCGACTTTATCTTGGGGCATCTTGAGTTCGGGCAACTCGATGACCTCTTTGGGGTTATTCGTCCTCAAGTTTTCATACATTCCCGAGTGGGCTTCAATCCCGTCTTTTTCGATCCCTTCTCGACCCCTGAAGAGTCAAACTTATCGCTTTGTTGTTTTTTAACATAAAACAGTGTCGAAAAAAGTATTAAGCAGAGGTTTGACTTTTTAAAAATCAAATCATTTGTCGGCATTTCAAATTCAATATGGACATGGTTACAACCGAAAATATAAACAAGAAGTATTTTGAGATGGTTGGAACTTACTTGAAGTTCCAGATGCCGCCAATGGAGTCGTATCTCTCGTAGCAGACAACTTCGTACCCGGTCGAGTCCATGCTTCCGCTCGCATCCTCGAGACTTTGCAATGCTCGGAGAGTCGTAACTCCGGAAGGTCCGGCCCCAATTACACATCCTCTGGTTTTACTGGGCATTTTGTAATTTAGTTTACTTTTGTTTGATTTATGAAAGTTTTTGAAGTTAGTGAACTCCGCAATTACACTTTGAAAGAAACTTAGTTTTTGTTTTAAGCAGGTACCAGCTGTTTTCAGATGGCGTTAAACAAGAAATAACTGAAAGCACAGAAATGAAGAATAAGGTTCGAACAATCTAGAAGATCGCATTTGATCTCAAAGCTAATTCAATTCCATGACTATTTGGCAACTTCTTCACGGTCTTTATTGCGTCAGCTTAACGAAAATGAAATTTTTACACTAGCTCAATTGGCTTATTGGCTCCATTTATATAACCTAACTTAGATGACTTAGCTTAGCGGTCACGTATTTTTAGAGCCGACAATATTATGTATTTTTGTCTTCGCATTCAGATAAAGACTACAATTGAATGCGATTTTTATATAGTTCAAAACTTCATCGGACAATAAAAATCGCATTCACTTTCAAATGTCGGAATGAACTTGACCTGATATTTTGACTATAGCTAACTGAACATAATTTAAAAAGCCAACAGAACAATTCAAGTTCAAATAAATTTTTTTAACTTAGATTTTCTGTCGTGGTAAGGATGATCTATGAACCTTTTGAAGGTCAATTATCGCTTGTGAAATCGATATATTAACGCTTCTGAAGCGACACAGGAACGCGCTGCGACTTCTCTTTAAAAGGTAACAGAAACAAGACTGCTCGTATTAGGTGGCCTGAACGTTCCGACTGCCTTTTAAGGTCTATGGAGCAGTAATAACAAAAAAAACTTAAAGGTAAAAAAATTACATTTTTTTAAATTTGAGATTTCTTGTAAAAACATCCCCCCACACGCCAGCCATATTTAGTATAAAGTGATAAATTTTGCGCCTATTAACATATCAATTATGGCATATAGGCTTCTTTGAACCAACTTGTAAGGATTTCTAAGACGGATTAAAACTCCGCTTACGCGTTAATAGCGCGAAACATATCGCGCGTTAATTGTTCCAATTTGGCCAAAATGACCTAGATGGAAAACTTTAAACCCCCATAACTTTTTGAAAAATGATCACAGGTGGAATTTTCTTTCAAATTTAACCTCAAGACAACAATAGCTTTCGAATGATTTTAAAAAAAATTCAGTCGAAAATGGCTAGTTAAAAAGTCGAAATTTGTCTGAAGAAAAAAAACCTACCCGAGCTTAAAAAATTCGTTACTTTCGTTATGAAAATCGGAACAATAAGAAGAAGCAGTAGTATTCGAAAAAAGAACAGGCATCAAAATTCTCGAAAAAAGGTGTTCCTTTCTCATGCACGAAAAAAAAATTTCCAGATCAGATCTTTTTCTAAAGAAATCTGAGAAATCAGAGACTTTTTTAATCTGGCATTTATCTTTGATTTCAGAAGCTCGTGTACAACGAGAAAATGAGCTCGTGAACAAAATGAAAAATCAAAAATAAAACTCACCAAATTTTTAACATGGCAGTTCAAAAACTGTTTTCGATCTTTCATTTACTGGAAATTTACGCAAAAGCAGAATCATATTGATCACATTCGTACGAGGAAAATTGAGGAAAACTAGTAAAATTGTGCTTGAATGAATGAAATACTGTAATGAAACTCTGCTCTTGAAAGATAATTTACTCCAAAAAACAACATTATAAACAAGAACTCAGTTTGATACTTCGATCTAAAAACTTTTTACCAAAACTGATTTAAAAAAACTCCGAAAAAAAGCTGACGCAAGTAGGCAAAAATCTCTTACAACCAAAAATTTAAACTTGCATTTGAACTGATGGCAAAAGATCAATGAAAAACTGCCGAGCTTTCTCAGAGACGTCAATTGTTTGAAACATCTAACACCCACAGCTTTGAAAGAATTTTTCATCAACCACTATCTGCAATGCACATTTTTCTGAGAACAACACTACTTTAATGTTGATATAAATCCGAAAAACTAATTTCAGGTTAGTTTAAGATAGACAGTCAAAAATTATTCCAAAAACTTAACAGGTTGTTCTATAAAAATTTAAAAGCTTAAAAAAGTCGCTATAATGATGTGCGCTATTTTTTATACCAAAACTTTGGAACAAACAAAATTAATTCAACAAAAATAGCCGGTTACTGTGCAAATATACAAAATGTTCCGACCATTTTTAAAAAATGACAACAAAATTATTTTTTCAAATTGTCGTTTTTTCGGCGAGGTGTGATAAAGGAAAGTAGAGCTTCGTCAGGCATTGTAAGATAGACAAATTGGAAAACAATTTCTAAAGGCAAAAAAAAAGAAAACCAAAAAGAATGAAAATTATTTTTCTTTAAGTTTTCAATTTTTTCTCCATATTTTTGAAGTTTTTTATTCCCAAGATGAAGCTAACAACTCCAAAAATTAATTTCATTTGAGTAAAACTTAATTTTTAAGGCTCATTTTAAGCATAAATAAGCTAATCTAAGCCTGCTCACTCGCTCGAAATCAGACAAAAATCAAAGTTTTCAAAAAGTTTTTCTCGACACTGAGAAAACTTTTTCGAAATTCTTAAATGTCGTTCGAATCACGACTATAGAAGGGTTCAATTATGATATATCACTCAACCCAGTTCGGTGATTAATTGAGGTAAAGCAATCATCCGATTCAGAATGGAAATTTACATTTGGTCTGAACACAACTTAAAGCCTAAAAAAATTACGAATTATGTCATACGCTCCTTTTGATAATTTTTGTCAGTTCGAATTTTTTTTGCGATTGTCCAAATAAACTTTGATTGGAGCAGAACTTCCCAAACATTTCATTCATTATGTTAAAGTGAACCAGAAACAGCCCGTTTATATAAATTCAAAGGTTTTTTACTTAGCTTAACGTTTTTGGTCCGAAATGGTTTAATAATCAAACTACTTTGAGCCGCAAAAAAAAAGTCAGAAAAACAAACATAATTTCTCAAAAATAGAAAAAACGTTTACGCAAAAGTGCAATGGTATAAAAACACAGTATTAAAAGCGAATCAGTCCCATTCATAGATTATGAACCAAAATTTTACTTCATTTTTTTAATTGTTTACAATACTTTTTCTGTAGCGACTCTACACTTTTTCTCAATAGTAATTTTAGGTCCTTTTTTACATTTAAAAAATTGAGCATGGAGGCATCTCGTTGAATACTGCCATCCATACACAAGGGGTGCGATCCGCTGAACTAGGATTGTATGCCAAAATGCCAACTATATAGTCTTTGAAATTTAAGCAAGCCGATTTTTACCGGCATTTGGTGTTGCTGTGTATGCACTATGCAGATTAAAAAACAAATATAGACACAGCTCAATTGTTTTCTTTTTTCACGCTTCTAAGTGTGGTCGCAAAAAAATTAGAATATGTTATTCCGTAACGCCGTACGGCTTTCTTCTTGATCGAACGCCTGCATGCAAATTTGAAATTTTAAGCAACTTTAAGACTTATTTTCTGTCAATTAATTATTTAAGCCTGCAAGTTTCCTATGTCCTAGGTCATTTGCTCTTTTAAATTGATGTTTTCTTCACGATTCTTTTTCTGTGACTGTCCAAATCATGCGCGATAATTTTGATAGGAAACAAATTTCCCAAGCATTTCGATAACTTATCAGAAAGCCAACTCAAAGGAGCAAATTTATCTGAACATCAAAGCAGGGGCGGATTTAGGGGGGGGGGGGGGGGTTGGGGCGGACCCCTGCCAACCCAAAGGGTCCCCCCTTTGGTACTTTTTAAGAAATCCATTTTTGGCCGACCGACCCTAAAAATTTTCTAAAGGCGCCTTCGGCGCCAATATATACTAATTTTGAGGGGAAGCGCGCGCCAAAAAAACGCGTTTTTTTGGTCAAAATTTTCTAAAAAGTGCCCAAAACAAAGTGTTGATATATATTTAAAAGAAAATTGATATAAAATTTTCGAATCAAATTATTGTTTTGAATTTTAAAGCTGTCGACACAAGCTCTCTTACCCTGTTTTTCTTTTCACGACTACCGCTTCAAATTTTCAAAATTGAATGCAATGTTACTTTTAAAAGTAGTATTTTAGCGAAGCTATCCCCTTTTCGTTATTGGACTCTTTTGTAAACATAGCCAAAGTACAGTTAGAACGGTTTGAATGATTTACAGCAATTTTAATCACTGTGGTCGCAAAGGATTGTTTTCTTTTTTTTAATATCTTTGGGGTTTTCGTTCGTTTTGATTTTTATTCCAACTCCAAAATTTTTTTTTCAGAGTTAACGCAATTTCATATTTAGTTTTGCTCAAGTGAAAAAACAACGGCCTCAAAAATTTTTCAGGCTTGCAGTTGGGTGCTATTTGTATAATGGGTTCGCACAACGCAGAGCAATCTGTGATTGAAGTAATATACGCACTCTTCTAAAAACTGTACGAAAAAATACACCTAAAAAATTGTTATTTAGACGCACAGTTTTCTTTCAAGGAAGCCTATGATAAATAAAATCAAAAATGAAATCCCGTTCGAAGTCAAATCTTAGATTTAAAGTATCAAACAAATGATGCTCAAGTAAGATCACACAACACTATTCTGCCAAGCTGGCCCTGGTAAATTATATATCTCACCTGAAAATCTATGAAAAACTTCGATTAACTACCCTGCAAATACTTGGAGCTCTCATTTTTAGCAATTGAGCTGTTATAGCAGGATAATTAGAATCAGGAAATTTGATATAGAAAAATTGTGGTTTGGAATTTTAAAGCTGACAACACATATTTTCTTACGGTTTTTCCTTTTATCCTGTTTTTCTTTTACGCCTACCGCAGCAAATTTTCATAACTGAACCCATTTTTACACTTAATACTCGCACTTTCACAAGACCGTTCCTTTTTTTTTATTGGACCCTGTTATCATAGCCTTAAAATAATTTTAAAAAATTACAATGACTTACAATGCTTTTAACCACTGTGGTCACAAAAAATGCAATTTGTTCCATAAAATCATTCGGTATTGTATGTTTTGGTTTTTATTGGAAAAAAATTCCTTTTCGAAAGTACCGCATGTTCATGGTTCGTTCTGCTGAAATGAGAAATGAGCAGCATCAGAGCCTTTTAGTACTTGTAGTTGGGCGCTCTTTGCATAATGGTTTCCAGGAATTGATTTCAAATTTTTGTCGTATTAGAGCAAAGCCTAAAAGCGCAAACGAAAAGGTAAATTTAAGAAGGCACCGTAATTTTGAACATAAAATGCCAGAAAACTTTGTCATTGTAATCAACTGACCGCCGTAAAAACGATACAAGCGATGAAAAAATTACAGGCAACTGGGACAAAAACTGGTAAAAATATAGGTATTCGCCATTGCCTAACAATGTTCCTATCGTTTTTTTTTCAGCTTGCAAAACAAAATGAGAATTAAGGGAATACGCTACCGATAAGACTGCCGTTGTTATAGCAGCAGCTGGTTAACTTTACAGGCAACAATTCGTGTAAAACGCCCATGGCGCCTCTCATTTACTAGCCGAGATAACGTGGTTTAACTCTCAAGCGGGTCAATCAGTTATTCAATCTGAGTGTTGCATGTTCAAAAAATGAGCAAACAAATGAGCGTATAGCACTTACTGAAAAGAATACGAAAATATTTCACCACAATTATTTGAAGTTTCATCATTATATACATTGACACTTAAGACTGAACAACAGTTTTTTTAAGTTTTATAGGCGTTGAGTTTCAGAAGAGAGAAAACATGAAAATCAACCTCTTGGAATTTCAAAATTTTTTCATGATCGACACTTTTCTTAACCAGAAAAAAGCTGAATCAAAATTTCATTCATTTTATCCATGGATAACTATGAAAATTGAAAATCTAAATTTTATTCGTTCACGTTTCTTCGCGCCGTTGAGGTGTTGGAAATTAGATAGCTCAAACTTCTTTCTTTTTATCAATGGAATTGAATTTGAAATTAAATCATCAATAGCATTATAATCATTGACACTTAAGACTGAACAACAGTTTTTCAAAGTTTTATAGGTGTTGAGTTTCAGAAGAGAGAAAACATGAAATTCAACCTCTTGGAATTTCAAAATTTTTTCATGATCGACACTTTTCTTAACCAGAAAAAAGCTGAATCAAAATTTCATTCATTTTATCCACGGATAACTATGAAAATTGAAAATCTAAATTTTATTCGTTCACGTTTCTTCACGGCGTTGAGATGTTGGAAATTAGATAGCTCAAAATTCTTTCTTTTTATCAATGGAATTGAATTTGAAATTAAATCATCAATAGCATTATAATCATTGACACTTAAGACTGAACAACAGTTTTTCAAAGTTTTATAGGTGTTGAGTTTCAGAAGAGAGAAAACATGAAATTCAACCTCTTGGAATTTCAAAATTTTTTCATGATCGACACTTTTCTTAACCAGAAAAAAGCTGAATCAAAATTTCATTCATTTTATCCATGGATAACTATGAAAATTGAAAATCTAAATTTTATTCGTTCACGTTTCTTCGCGCCGTTGAGGTGTTGGAAATTAGATAGCTCAAACTTCTTTCTTTTTATCAATGGAATTGAATTTGAAATTAAATCATCAATAGCATTATAATCATTGACACTTAAGACTGAACAACAGTTTTTCAAAGTTTTATAGGTGTTGAGTTTCAGAAGAGAGAAAACATGAAATTCAACCTCTTGGAATTTCAAAATTTTTTCATGATCGACACTTTTCTTAACCAGAAAAAAGCTGAATCAAAATTTCATTCATTTTATCCATGGATAACTATGAAAATTGAAAATCTAAATTTTATTCGTTCACGTTTCTTCGCGCCGTTGAGGTGTTGGAAATTAGATAGCTCAAACTTCTTTCTTTTTATCAATGGAATTGAATTTGAAATTAAATCATCAATAGCATTATAACCATTGACACTTAAGACTGAACAACAGTTTTTCAAAGTTTTATAGGTGTTGAGTTTCAGAAGAGAGAAAACATGAAATTCAACCTCTTGGAATTTCAAAATTTTTTCATGATCAACACTTTTCTTAACCAGAAAAAAGCTGAATCAAAATTTCATTCATTTTATCCACGGATAACTATGAAAATTGAAAATCTAAATTTTATTCGTTCACGTTTCTTCGCGCCGTTGAGATGTTGGAAATTAGATAGCTCAAACTTCTTTCTTTTTATCAATGGAATTGAATTTGAAATTAAATCATCAATAGCATTATAATCATTGACACTTAAGACTGAACAACAGTTTTTCAAAGTTTTATAGGTGTTGAGTTTCAGAAGAGAGAAAACATGAAATGCAACCTCTTGGAATTTCAAATTTTTTTCATGATCGACACTTTTCTTAACCAGAAAAAAGCTGAATCAAAATTTCATTCATTTTATCCACGGATAACTATGAAAATTGAAAATCTAAATTTTATTCGTTCACGTTTCTTCGCGCCGTTGAGATGTTGGAAATTAGATAGCTCAAACTTCTTTCTTTTTATCAATGGAATTGAATTTGAAATTAAATCATCAATAGCATTATAATCATTGACACTTAAGACTGAACAACAGTTTTTCAAAGTTTTATAGGTGTTGAGTTTCAGAAGAGAGAAAACATGAAATTCAACCTCTTGGAATTTCAAATTTTTTTCATGATCGACACTTTTCTTAACCAGAAAAAAGCTGAATCAAAATTTCATTCATTTTATCCACTGATAACTATGAAAATTGAAAATCTAAATTTTATTCGTTCACGTTTCTTCGCGCCGTTGAGATGTTGGAAATTAGATAGCTCAAACTTCTTTCTTTTTATCAATGGAATTGAATTTGAAATTAAATCATCAATATCATTATAATCATTGACACTTAAGACTGAATAACAGTTTTTTAAAGTTTATAGGTGGTGAGTTTCAGAAGAGAGAAAACATGAAATTCAACCTCTTGGAATTTCAACATTTTTTCATGATCGACACTTTTCTTAACCAGAAAAAAGCTGAATCAAAATTTCATTCATTTTATCTACGGATAACTATGAAAATTGAGAATCTAAATTTTATTCGTTCACGTTTCTTCGCGCCGTTGAGATGTCGGAAATTAGATAGTTCAAACTTCTTTCTTTTTACCAATGGAATTGAATTTGAAATTAAATCAGAAATTAAATAGCAGAAACTTGATCAATTTAATATGCACTCCAATTTAGAAGTGATCTTAAAACATTTAGAAATTTTTTTTTCATGATACTATCCCTGAAAACCACTCGTCAGGAGCAGGCATAAAAATGTTTTCCTCAATTTCAAAAACACTGTTACTTTAGCAACTTTCTTATGGCTGCAGCGTTTTTGAAATTGAGGAAAACATTTTTATGCCTGCTCCTGACGAGTGTTTTTCCGGGATAGTATCATGAAAAAAAAAATTCTAAATGTTTTAAGATCACTTCTAAATTGGAGTGCATATTAAATTGATCAAGTTTCTGCTATTTAATATCTGATTTAATTTCAAAATCAATTCCATTGGTTAAAAAAAAAGAAGTTTGAACTATCTAATTTCAAACATCTCAACGGCGCGAAGAAACATGAACGAATAAAATTTAGATTTTCAATTTGCAGAGTTATGCGTGGATAAAATGAATGAAATTTCGATTCAGCTTTTTTCTGGCTAAGAAAAGTGTCGATCATGAAAAAATTTTGAAATAAATTGAATTCGTGTTTTTTTCTCACGAAATCTAAAATAGTTCACACCTAAGTTTTTTTTTCGGATTCTTTCAATCTCAATTCAATTTCATTTGCCTAAAAAAGGCAACTTACGCTTTCCAATTACGAAAACGTTAAATTCAGTAGTGGATTTTATTTTTCAGAATTAGGTTAATTTTATGGAAAGTGTCATCAAAAGTGCTTTAAATTGAAAGAGTAATTTTTTTTAAAAAAATGAAAATGCTGCTCTAATTGAATGGTCAAAATTAAAGGTTGCATAGTCAGTTGTTTTTTTAGAGTTCATTGATACTTTAGCAACTTTCTTATGGCTGCAATGATTTCTAGAAAAAAAAACAATTGACTATGCAACCTTTAATTTTGACCATTCCCTTAGAGCATTTTCATTTTAAAAAAAACTACTCTTTGAATTTAAAGCACCTTTGATGACACTTTCCATAAAATTAACCTAATTTGACAAATTTAGATCAAACCTTTGTTTATTCCATTGGGAATTCTAAAAAATTAAATCCACTACTGAATTTAACGTTTCCGTAATTGGAAAGCGTAAGTTGCCTTTTTTAGGCAAATGAAATTGAATTGAGATTGAAAGAATCCGCAAAAAAAACTTAGGTGTGAACTATTTTAGATTTCGTGAGAGAAAAAAACACGAATTCAATGAATGATTTAGGGTCGTTCATTGAGATTTAAAAAGCTCTCAAATACTTCATTGGAGATAAAAGCTGCTCATGCTACTGAAATCGTTTTCCTGCTCGGAAAGTTAATCAATTGCTTCACCGAATGCACGAAAGGATCTCAAATAGGTCTTTATATTCAGCAAGTTTTAAGAAGCAACCAATACATTAAACGCAGTAGCTTACCGCTTTAAAAGTTTCTGAGCACGCCACTGATTAAAAGCTATATCATAGATTTTCTACTTTAAAGTAACACAAATCGCACGTAACACAATGATTTGTAACATAATGAACAAAACTCTTTTCAAAGTTCTTTTTTTAAAGATCAACAGTTTTGAAAAATTGGCCATTATAGAAGTTTTTCGTATCACTGGTGGTAGTCTTACCAAATCAAAATTATTCTTGTAAAACGCTAATAATATGTCCTTCTATGACTGTTTCAATATGAGCTACTAAACTTTTATATAATATTTATTTTCCACCATGTTTTGAACCTAAAACACTATTTATACATTTTAAGCAAGGCTGGATATTGAGTAGGATACTGATTCAAAAAAAGGAAGTGGTATATCTATTACCTCGCATGAAAAAAGAAGGTCAAATAAGCTTAATTTAATTCTATGGGAATATGCATTTAATTTAAAAAATTTTATATTACAGATGCGATATGGTTGATATGATTGTTTTGCTCGCAATTTAGAAGAAAAAATGTTTATTTCCAAAACATTCAAACGTAACAGACTAGATTCATTTGGCGAGCAAACTTCGCGCATATAGGTAGAAAACAATTAGAAACGATTTTTTTTTTACATTTTAATTTATTACGATATGTTTTACAAAAATGATATGTTTGTAACTAATAAAAGCAGACCCTTTGCATAGTCAAGTTGAATAACAATATATACATACAAATTTATCACACCATGTACAAAAAAAGGATAGAATCTTTCGTCGTTTACTTCTAGTTTGACCTTCAATCAAGTTCTGTGGACACCAACGATGGAGTGAGAAGAGCTGCTCGAGACCCCAGTGGTAGTCGTGCTACTGTAGCTGCTGCTCTGAATAGGCCGTTGATCTGGAAAATTCAATTTAAACTGAAACAGGAAAGTTCCTTCATCGAAAAACGAATATCGCGAAACTATCGTTTGATCTATTACTCGTTTTTAAATTTAAACGACGATGCATCCATGTTCGCAACTACAAGTTAACTGCGAATCCAATGATTTTTACCGGCAGATTGCTACTTTTCATTTTGTTTTTCTTTCGAAGCTATTTGCACCACTAAATTCAAATTGATTTCTACCACTAACATGCGATGTGCTGTCCAAACTTCGAAGCCATCTGGCCTATCTTAGCCTGCTGCTCCACCAAGTTGGCTCTCTCCTCGAAGTTCTCCACCGATCCACTTTCTCGGAGTCTAAAACACACCAGCGCCTCGAATAAAACTTCAATTCTAGTTGAATTTAACAAATACAGCGCTGATTTAAGTTATCCGGACAAAAAGAACAAAATGTACAGTTAAATCAACACTGAACAAAACTGCACTTAGTTTAAATCAGCACTGTACAACAGACGGAGTGCAGCCAGTATTTAGACAGCCGCGTATTCATACTGGTCAGTATTTAGACAAATACTGTATGAACCAATCAGATTCGAGAAAAAACATAAATAATCCAAAATAAATAATAATTATTTATTAATTTCTTCTTTGTCTCGATTCTGATTGGTTGAAACAGCATTTGTCTAAATACTGACCAGTCTGAATACGAGGTTGTCTAAATACTGACATGTAACCACAACAGACAGTTAGATAATTATCCATGAACAAGAAAGCAGAAAAACTGCAGCTTAAAGCTCTTTAATTAAAATCTTAGAATTGACAATTTTTGATATAAAAACCTGATTTGATACATCTAAATCGAAAGACTTATTTTAAGCCACCATAAAAATCTAATTTGTTAAATAAATATCATCAAAGTTTTTCGCGCAATTTTAACCAGTGGCTAAAGCTCGAGACACTTGCTTGATATTTTGTATGAATGTATTGCATTGACACAAAATTATAGCGTAACGATTGATGATGTGGAGGGGGGTCATTTGAAAAGGAAATTATGATGGATAGTTTGTTAGCAGACCTCATAATTCTCCAAACAGAAAAAAGATGGCTGAGGGATGGCGAAAAACAGAACTGTAGTTTGAGAGCACATACGAACTATCGTGAAGCTACGAAAGCTGCCAGTATCAAAAAAGGAGTAAAGGTTCGTGTCAAGATGTATGAAAACTTTAATACATGTTTGTATGCTAAGCCCCAGACAATATACGAGAAGAACGGTTTGAAAAGAGACGAACAACTTTCACAAAAACAAATAAAATGTCAAAAACTTGGACTCTGAATTCCATAGAAGTTTCCCTGCCGAAAAGGGGAAGTAAACGCTCATTCAAAGACGAATCCGTTTTTCCGATTAAACCATTGATCCCAGATTTGGGAGAGTTTGACAAAAGTCTAAACGTTTGACACATACGGTCAAATGGACTTTACCCCAGGCTGTAACTTTTTTTCTTCAATAATTAAGGCGTAGCCGTTTACGCAGGGAAGATTCTCACAACCTCTTCTTTCAATTGAACTCTTAACTTCAGATTTCGAAGGCTAGTTTTCGCGAAAACTTTCACAGAAAGACGAAAACTTTCACAGAAAGACTAAAATGTGGACTTTTCCCAAAGCTCTTACTTTTTAAGAAAAATTAGTGCATGGCGGCTAATGCAAGGAAAATCCACACCACCCGTTTTTCTCCATTTGAACCCTTATTCCCAGATTTGGTAGGGTAACTTGGGAGAAAATCGTTCATGGGTCAAATAGTATCCATTGAATTTTTTAGACAGACAAGGCGAATATGCAGGAACACAGGGCAGTAGCCAATCTTTCCATTGCCTACCACTTTGTTGAAATAAGGCGAGGTAGTTTGTGTGAGAAAGTCAAACTTTAGGGAGGAGTGGAAAAAAAAATTTCCAAAGCGACTCAAAAAAATAAAACTGAGAACAAGCCGAATTACTTTGCTGTCAATCAAAAATTTTTTTCTCGGAATGCTTCATTTCGAACAACAATTCGAAATCCACCGAAAATCAAGACCAAACCTCGAAGAATCAAAATTGAGCTTGAATTTTTAAGACTTTTTTGAACAAAGAAACACTAAACTCAATAAATTGTCTTCACTCCGTTTATTGACTTTCAAGGCCCACCCGACCTTAATACATGGTATAACTTCGGTCACAAAGTACGGGATTCAAAACCCTACCTTTTTATGAAGATTCTCGTATCTCAACCTTTTTCCCATGGTGACATGATTTAACCTACTTTCACGAATACTACGCTAATACTAAGCTAAGCTATGAGGCAGCCAAGGATGCACTTCATTAAACCGAGTGTAACTGATATTGACTTAAAGCATGAAATTTGCTCAGAATTTCGTACTGAATTCCGCGACTTTGTTTGAAAAAAGAGACCGTATTATTTCTGGTTGGAAAAAAGAGATCTTATAATACTACATTCGCTACACTTTTGACATTAAATTTAAACCGCTAACTGAAACAGCATAATTATGCTAGAATCGAGCTTCTGAAGTTAAACAAGTTGTTCCTACGTTTGTGACAGGACCATTTTGCGCACATTCTCTGTCTTGACTTGGCGCTCCTTGCGCTCCAAAGTGTTCTCGTCTGGATTGCTGGCACGCGCATCGTAATACCTCACCGGAATGACTACCTTCTGGGGCATAAGAACCTGCACAAATAGCAATCATCATGTTACATCTCCAACCTTGAAACAACCCTATACTTCGACAAGAAATGCAAAAATATTAGACTGAAGGCAATCATTAAATTTACTTCTACTTGAGATCCAAAACGATTATAGCTCAAAGCGAACTTCATCCGTCAACTTTTTCACACTTCACCTTATTTACGCGTCAGAATGAGACAGATGATTAAAACTATGGATGCATTAAAAAAAATGCGGAACTGGCATGCTGATGGAAAGGATGTATTCACTTACATTTAAATCAGAGAAGGTGCTTAATGGCGACTGACTACCATCATCGTATATCATCTAGTCAACATACTCAGTTTAAGATTCTAGCGTTATCCAGCGCCAAAATCACTTAACTCAAAGTTTTTGCGCAATGAAAACGAAAAAATAATAGCCATCGCATTACTGTGAAAATTTAATGTAACTACGGAAACAGAATTAGCTTTTTTTAAAATTAAAAAACAAATAAAAATATTGAATGTTTAGCCACTACTTTGTTTGCAATTTCCGACAACATCGCGTCATTCCAGACAGAGGCGGATCTAGGATTTTCTCGAGGAGGGGGCGGATTTTCAAAAAGAAATCGAAAATTTTGACGACTTTTGTTTAGGTCGACCAAATTGATTTTTTGAGCTCTCCCAAAGCACTGTTTTGCCCCTATTTTGGCAAAAGTTTCTGCGCCGCAGGCAAATTTTTGAAAAAAAAAAGCCAAAAAAGGCGTTTTTAGGCATTTTTTGGAAAATTTTGACCAAAAAATTGCGTTTTTTCGGCGCGCGCTCCCCCCTCAAAATTAGTAAATAATGGCGCCAAAGGCGCCTTTAGAAAAATTTTAGGGTCGGTCGGCCAAAAGTGGATTTCTTAAAAAGTACCAAAGGGGGGACCCTTTGGGTCGGCAGGGTGTCGAATCCCTGAGGGGGGGGGTACGCCCCCCCCCCCCCAATGCCGCCCCTGATTCCAGATAATAAACTTAACTAAAACTTTTGGTTGTAACTGAATAAACAAAATATCAGTGAAAGAGTAAGCAATTACCTGTTTGTCAATGTCAGTTGGATCAGTTCCGGGTGAGGTCATATTGTCTGTAGAATGCAGTCTGGCGCTGCTTCCCCTCAAGTCCATGTATGACGACCCCCTGCTGCTGCTACCTCCCATTCCACCATACCCTCTTCCACCGACACGGAGTCCGTCCGAGGTGCTCAGTTGAGCGGAGGAAGAAAGCTGAGGGGGCTGTTTGTTTAGAATGAGTCTCTCCATTTTCTCAATATCAGCCTCCGTCGAATCTAACCCACTACCCCCGTGATACTAAATACAGCAATTATACAAGACCCAAAATCAAAATGCTAAGAAAAACCACCCGACAACACAGCAAGTGAGAACACTACTCGAGTTTGGACATTAATTAGACATTCGAAATAACGTTTATTTACCTCAGGCGACAATTGGTAACAAGTAGGAAATTTGTAAAAGGCGGCAATTCGCAACGAGTGACAATTCGCTACATAGTTGAAGCGACAAACACTGATTCACGCGCATTATTATACCGCTTGTGTCGAATGTAATTGCAGCGAAGCAAGCGGACGCTACTTGACAATTCTTTGTTACGATTTGTAACCTGTTACGAATCGTCGTTCAGCCGTTTATTTATAGGTAACATAAAATTTTGTAAGACGGTTGTGATACCCAGCTAGAATAATTTTCATTTGTTGCGCCAAACGCAAAAATACTAAGTTTGGCGCAACAGACTTCATACAAAAGAAGCTTACCTTCGAGGATGCGTTAGAAATAGCCGAGGCGGACCTGTAATGCAAACTGTCTGTATCCAGCTGCGACTGGTGCGTGTAACTCTGACTGCCTCCATCGCCATAAGCAGCAGAGTACAAACTGGCAGTTGACCTTGACCCGGCCCCGGAAGTGTTCTTCGATTGGTGCATCAGGTAAGACTCGTGAGTCGACTGGTTCTGAGTAGTTACCACTGACCTAGTGACATAATCTTCGTCCTGATTTAACTCCCGCTCGTCCTCCTCTTCTTTTATGGAAAGGGCTTCCTGGGATCCCATTCTGCTGTTGGTTAAGTTGAGTCTGTTCAGTTCTTGGGCGGATCCATTCAGCATCGAGGATTTGAGAGACCTACATACAAGTAAATTTCTAGTTGAAGCAACCACGTCATATATCTTTTCATGTTATCACCGTACAAAAATTCCTTAAAATGCAGATGTCAATTGATTCATTGCTCTATGTCAAAATAAGCAAAATCAAATTTTAAAATATACGCACCACTGAAACCTGGGAATAAACAAAAAATGAGATTGTTAAGCAAGGGCAAACGCCGATTCACCGTTGGTTCTCGTCTTCCAGGATAATGACATTAGAATATCTAAACTACAATGCCATGCTACTCGAGTGTTACGTATGTAATAAGGTGTCATCACTAACATTTGACTGTTGGGCCTGTACAGTCTGGCGTAGGAGTTCGCTCTAGAGGAGAGGGGCGTGCCACCTTGGCCCAGATCTGGCTTCACAATAATCTCGGCCGCCGTCACTGCCTTACTCCCAATCGAACTCTCTCCCGTGCATCTGCAATGCAAACTTTTCTGTGGCAACACTGTCCATAAAAAAATTTCAAGCCAACGTTTTTCGAATTGACTTTTATCTACGTAGAATTCTAATTCACCATTCAATTTTTAGGGCACTATTACACCGGAATGTGTCAGAATTCATACAATATACTTAGGCTAACTCGATATCGTAAAATAGCACGAACATTGAGCTTTTTCACGCCATGTGTCAACTGAACGCAGATCGACTGCTACTTCTATGCCCGTAAGCCAACACTAACAAGTTTAAGCATATGCTGCTTCCAAAACATGGATCAATTTAAATATTTATGAGCAACTAAAATTGCAGGCTTTTCCTTACCTGTAAATGCCCCCGTGATCCACAGTCACATTTGGTATGTACAATGACTGGTATTCATTTTTTCGTTTAATCATAATGTTCTCTCCGTCATCTTCCAACAGGTGTCCATCTTTTTCCCAGTAGAATGACACAGGAGGGGGTGACACGTGTATGCGACAAGACAGAGCTAGAGGCTTTCCCTCGTGGATCATTTTCCCCTTCAGTCTCTCAAGTACTTTCGTTTGCTCTTCAGCAGAGTTGGATCTCGCGTACATCTCTGTATTTTGCTCAGTCGTACTCGTGAACACATTTGCAGCTAAAAAAAACTTTGCTTTGAGCGTCTATCATACTTGAACGCGTTATTTTCATGCTTAATCGCTGAAAGATCATTTAACAACTAGGACCCATCTAAAGCTGCAGGTACTACCTGTTTGACAATTTGGAATTTGTTGTACTGATTCGGGATGAAATGACTATTTCAAAAATTAGGCTCCACCCAAAACTTTAGTTGCTTCTCAAATAAAATAACTGAGAAAGATTTTTGGACAACTTGGAATAACTTAAAACTTTCTCAAAAAATTTAAGGCATAGCTGCCTATGCAGGGAGGCTCCCCATAACCTGTAGCAGCGATTAAACCACTGATATCAGACTCGGCTGTGCAGTTTTCGAAAAAAAGTCCAAAAAACGGACAGGAATCAAAACATTGATATTTCTGATGGCCATGAAGTTTTTGAAAGAAAGTTGGGACAAAGCTGCTTATATGGGGAAGCTTTTTTCAAGCTTTTCTTTCGATTGGAACCAAAATTTCAGATTTGGCAGGGAAGTTTTCGAAACAAGTCAAAAAGTTTCGAAAAACGGTCAAAAAATCACAAATATGACTTTTCCGAGCACGAAATCTTTTAAAAAAAATTGAGTGTAGCCGCTTAAGTAGACAAATTTCTCACACCCTGTACTTTCGATTGAAATCAAAATTTTAGGTTTGGGAGGGTAGTTTTAGAGAAAAGTGAAAACGGTTCCAAAAATGGTCAAAAAATCAAAAATTTGATATTTGCGAGGGCCATAACGTATTGTTTAAAAATACCTTTTCACAACCCACTCTATCCATTGACCTTAAAATCACAGAATTGGGACGGTCGTTTCTGAGAAAAGTAAAATATACCCAACACACTGTTGGAAAAAAGTCAATGATGCAATTGAACAGAAAAAAAAACTGATAGCCCTTGAAGCTATTTTAGTTTCTAGAAAAATTTATGATTGGCAGAAAACTGGACCAATTGGTTAACTTTATATTTCGCTGAGAAAAGTGAAAAGCAAATTCCATTTTCGAAACTAGACGTCGATCACATCTTTCGTGACCTTTTTACTTTCGCTAGTGGAGTTTGCCTTCCTTTTAACAAAGGAACTGAACTGAAATCTACAAGAAATCAGATGTCAAACGGCGTAAACACAAATTGAAACCTGAACCAATTTTGAGACTTTTCCTGAAAAAAAAACAAAAAAATTATCGCGACCTATATAAGAGTCTGGACAACGTTCATTTACTCTTGAAAAACATTTGAAAAAACGGTCGAAATCACAATTTTGACTCTTTCGATGGCCATAGGGCCGCTTTTGCGAGGGAGCTTCCCACAATCTTTTCTTTCGATTGAATTCAAAAACTCAGATTTGGGACCGCATTTTGTGAGATTGAATCAAAAAGTTTCAACATACGGCCAAAATTCAAAAAAAATTACTTTTCAGTGGACGATAATTTTTTTTTTGTAGAAAAATTTGGGTGCAAGCACTCATACAGGGAAACTTTTAGGGATTAGAATAGACTCCAAATTATTATTTCGAACAACATTCAACATGTTTCGAAATAACTAGCAACCATAAGTGGAATTGTTTGTTAACTACGCCATTTTATTCCCAGAGATCAGCTCTTCTGCTATTAGGATTCCAAAATTAGGCCATTGATTCAACACGGTGTTCTTGTATATAGCTGTTGTAGTTACTCGTCTCTCAATCTATTTTCCTCCTACAAAAAATATCAAGTTCATTTATTTTTGGAAGCGCAGCGACAACTCACAAGATCGTTTTGCAAAACACTAAATTTTTTGTTTGTCAAGTAACTGCTGAGCTCGTTACCTACCCTTTCAAAGTTAAGTGCAATAATTCTTTTTGGAAATGTTTGAGAATAAACTTCAATAACTTTGATTAACTAATTCTTCCTTTCTTCTACTCATCTACTTATCATATTTATCATACTTTAGGACGGGAATTTAAAAAAATTTGACGACTATCTCAGCAGCTCCATAATTTGTAAAAATGGTCGGATCCTTTGATTTCTTGGCATTAATTGGCTTAATCATAACCCGTGCGCTCCAAAAGAATCCACAAAACAATTTCAGTGCGCCTCTCTTTTAATTTGCGACTTGCTGACTCACAAAAAAATGCCAACAGACATTTGGAAAAGAGTCAAAGAACGCAAGTAAATAGAATAAACATGCTGTGAAGTTTTTTGATAACATAGCCAACAGACAGTTGGAAAAAAGCCAATGAACGCAAGTAAGCAAAAAAATATTACTTATATTTTATTTAAAAAATTTCGAATTTCAAAGAATTTCGTCTTTTCGGTTGAAATAAAATCTCAGATTTCAGAAGATAGTTCTTAAGAAAAGTCAAAACGTTTGACTTTTTCGAGAGCCATAACTTCTGGTCTAAAAAAAATGGCGTAGCCGCTTATGTAGAGGAGCGCCTTATAATACGTTCTATACTTTGAACCCGAAACCTTAGATTTGAGAAGGTAGTTTTCGATAAAACGAAAGTAAAAAACCAAAAATAGGTCCAATAATATCCCCACACACTGTTTTGAAGGCTGTAGAAAGTGGGGTAAGGTAAAAGGAGATTAGGGGATTATGCAAGCACACAGGAAAATGGTAGGAATTTCCATTGATACCGTTTTTTTTGAGAAAAGCGAGAATTTTTCCCAAAGCGTCTCAAAAAATAATTTAGAAAATAAAAAAAACACGATCCCATACATTTTCATAACACCGGTTTTCATCAAACAAAGACTTCTTTTATATTCGTACCAACCTTTTTGCTCTGATAAACAGGAATTGTGAATTTTCGTTCCCATATCTACAGGATACGCTGTGCTCTCTCAAAAAAAATCCTGCAAAACTCAATATTAACTGCAGCTAACCAGGCGTGAGCAGATATCGCTTGTCTCCCGAGTCTCTGGCCAATCCAACTGAGGCGGATGAGGTGACTTGGCCGTGCTGGTTAGATGCCTGACACTTGTACACTCCAACGTCCACCGAGGAGAACTGCTCAATCATCAGACTGAACTCGCTTCCTTTCTTAAGCAATGTAACAAAACTTTAAAAACTAGTAGATTTAAAGTCCACAAAAAGAGTCGTACCACCTCTTTATCGTACCGTTCTCCTTCAAGTTGAAATCTAATGATTTTATATTTCTCTGACCACTTCACGATTTTGGCAGGAACTATGATCTAGAGCGGATTACGCCCGTGATTTTACATGCTACTCTCGAAGGAGATAAAAAGTGATTTCGTATGGATGAAGATTTTCAATAATTCTCCGCATCGTGTAAAACTGGTCTGACAATTTTCTACGATTTCACAACAAAAGAGATAAATTGAACGGAGATATATACATTACATCAAGCGACGCGCAAGTTTTTCTTAATGTAATTACCGATGCGAATTTTTTGATTGATCTGTATCCGTGCAACTTGTTTTTCATAAAATATTCTCGAACTTTGTATAATTTAAAATCTCTAACATGCTGTATCTTGTGTCTGGGTGTGACCATGATCATCAGGTTGTCCTTGAACCAATTTACTCGTGGAGTAGGATTGCCCTCAATGACACACTTAAGGACCACAGTCTGACCAACTACTAATTCAGTGTCAGCCAGGCCAGACGACAGCCGCGGAGCCCCTGGATCTAAATTTTCAAATAGATATCCAGTCAACTGTTATATCCATAGCACAAATTTTACCAGTCACCATCATTCCATAAGAGTGGCTTAAAAACATTCGAGTATCGGAACATATGTTCTGATGCAGAGCCTAAAGCATTGAAATTTCTGCCTTTTTAATTTCAATATCTATGAAATTGTATTTCCTTACTTGAAACAGCTCTACACGATGTGATATCTAGATCGGCCGAATTCAACGCCTTCCCGAAATCATTCTCAGCACTGATCGCGTAGATCCCTCTGTGAGTACTCTTCACACCTTTTATGATCAACTTGTACACGTCCCCGTGCATCTCTTGCGTGATGCGTCCATCTTTTGAGAAATCAATCGGGCGCTCATCTTTCATCCACACAATCTTCGGCTGAGGCCTACCAATAACTCTCACTCTGAAGCTCGCAGTTTGTCCTTCATCAACGACTGTGCTTCTAAGCTGATCAACAACAAAGGGTGGATCCATGTGTGACGAAAAATGATTATGTGGCTCGTATGTCTGGTGAACTATGTAATGTTTCTGAGAAGACAATTCACTCGCCAGAGTGTCGTATCTGTGCTGAGTAGTAGTGGTGGTTGTGTTGAAGCTTGACATGATTCCACTATTAGCTGCACCTTCAATGGCTGACTCGCGGGTGCTGTTATGATCCTGCTTTGATGCCCCAATGTAGTTCCTCGGCGGTTCCGGTCTCGGAGCTGGAAAAACAGAATACACTAATTAGCTTAATTGTTGTGATAAATTTACTAAATGGTTTCATAGATGAAAGATGTTATATCACAAATCAATCATATCAAGGAATCACTCAAAACCGGTATCGAAGTAGAGGCACAGAGCCTTCTTTTCCAAAAGCTCATCGAAGTAATCGAGCTTCAACAGCGGAAATTATCAATTCTAGAAAACGATATCCAGGAAACATCAGAACGGGTTAGAGAATTAGAGAAAAATTGCGAAAGTTCCGCTCACTTTTTGTAAACCTTGACTATGCTGAAAACACGATGTCAGATATACTCAATTTCGTGCCTCATTATCTGACAGTAAAGCTTAGCGTCAACAATATAGCCGCCTGTCATCCTCTGAATTAAAACTAACCATCAGATGCATGGAAAAGGAAAGGTTGGCTGAAAAACCTATCATGGTCGGGGAAGGCCTAGACCCTAGAGACCGAAAACAAAAACAAGCAGCTAGACAATTGGGATTACCCGTCTACTCGCACAAACAAAATTTATACGTCCGAAATGGTAATAGCTTCTCACAAGGCCCCGCCCAGTGAAGTCCGTCAGTGAGCTGAAATTTTTTCTCCGAAATTATAGCGTAGCAGATAAATATTCTGAAGAAACAATAATGAAATCGACAACACCGAAAATTACCGAACGTGCTCCGAATCAATTGAAACACCTAAAATATCACCACCACTGCACAGAAAAACGAAATAAGGACGGAGCGATCTGAGGCCAAAAAGAAAGTTCATGCTCTCACCAATTGAACAATCAGATAAGAGAAATCTAGCTAATGCAGTAACAAATGCTCTTGTACCAGTCATTGTTAGTGCTATTCAACCGGCTGTTAAAGTTCCTAGAAATCCATCCCTTCACAAAGAAACTCCCTTTTCAGTTGAAAATGCATCCGATTAAAAATATCTGTTGTAATTCCTCATTAAGCTGCTCATTAACGCTAGGTCTCTGAAAAAACATGTTGAAGACCTGGTAGCTTTTATATAGTCTTGAATCTCCGCTGTAAAATTATGCAGAACTGAAACATGGTTAAATAAGCAAAACGATCCCAACGCTGTACTTATAAAAGGTTACGATCAACACAGATTTAAGTTTCGTCAATTGCGAGGTTGAGGCGTAATGATTCAAGCCCTAAAGGGGAGCATCATCGTAGAAGATTTTTTCGACAATTATTGATTAGGCTTTATCGGTTGAAACCTCAAACCGTGGTTTTCAATTCGTCGTAACGGTAAAATAGAACCCTCAAATATTGAACAAACAAAAATTTAAAGAGTTTATCAAAAATTTAGATACCTTTATTGAATGCTCATCACAAATACCACAGGTTGTAAGCGGATATTTCAATATACATACCTTGAAAACTAACTTGTTTTGTGCAAATTACACGAACACGTAAAAATTGTATGGTTTTGACTGTCAAAAGGCTACTCGAGTGTCATCAGTGTCCAAATTATGTCTCGATTAATTTGCAGTGAGAGATATAGATAATGCAAATGTAATTGTCCTTGAACATCAAGAACTTTCTGATCATTATCCCATTAGTTTAGCATTTCCAATAACACGAAAATTGGAAGAAGGTCTTGAATCTTCTTGAGATACTTCCTTTTCGAAATCCTCGGATCTAATTGACAATTTCTTATTTTCAATTAGATTCTGAAAATTAGATACGAAAATGCACATATTATACAGCAAACACATAAAGAAAACAAATTACCTCAATGGTTTACAAATCGAATAAAAAACTTGAGAACCAAGAAAAACAAATGACGCAAAAGAAGAATGACTGATAAAAACGATACGGTTAAAGTAAAGATTTTGAGCGAGCTAGGCAACTGGTAAAAAAGTTACAACAAATTCAGTAATTGTGTCGAAGACACCAGACAAACTTTCAAACTGCTCAAGATCAATTTGCTCGCGAGAGGTAAACGATCCAATGCATTGTCAATACCAATTCGTTTTTCGTGTTGCAATCAAATAGATCATCCTTCTCATTTAACTGTGGTTGAAAAATTTTCCTTTTTCTAGTAGTGAACATCATCACATCAAGTTTTTGCATGCATTGATAACTTACCGGTAAAGAAAACTTCTTCAGGCGATGATAATATAAGCAAACAAGTAATCAAAATATCAACCTTGGTAATTTCACCAACTGTATCGGAATTAAACAATCTATCTTTTCATGAAGGCAAGTCTGCGAAAGAAATAGCAAAAGCTTACGTTCTTTCATTGCACAGAGGTGGTTCAAAGAACGACGAAATATGTACATTAGAATATATGCATGCTTTAAGAATATCAAATTGGTTTTGAAAAATAACAGTTTGTATTCAGAACAAATCATATTTCAATTGACGCTTCAGTGGGGGTAACTGAAAGGTTAAGACATGAAAAAAATGGCAAAAAAACTTTTCTTAGATCTCAAAAAAAGCGTTTGATACTACTGATCAAAACTTCATAATTTAAAAATTTAACGTTTATGGAATAACAAGCAGAGCCTCAGATTGGTTAAGCAGCCATCTCAATAATGGTCAACATTTATTTGGAACAAGTTCTATTTTAGGCCCTCTGTTGATCCTTATCTATATAAACAATCTTCCTTGGGCATACAAAAACACGGAGGTGTTTCTTTTTTGCAGACGATACAAATTGATTGGGCTGGGATGAACAGCTTCAGAAATTTAAAAAGATTTGATCAAAATATAAGTGTTTGGTTAAAGGCTAACAAATTGGCATTGAACTTATACAGAACAGAACAATTGAAAGAAGGGTTAAGCATTTCTAACCACTTTCTATCAATCTTGAAAAGGTTAAATTTGCATCTTTTTGCCAGTATTTAGGGATTAGAATAGACTCCAAATTATTATTTCGAACAACCTTCAACATGTTTCGAAATAACTAGCAACCATAAGTGGAATTGTTTGTTAACTACGCCATTTTATTCCCAGAGATCAGCTCTTCTGCTATTAGGATTCCAAAATTAGGCCATTGATTCAACACGGTGTTCTTGTATATAGCTGTTGTAGTTACTCGTCTCTCAATCTATTTTCCTCCTACAAAAAATATCAAGTTCATTTATTTTTGGAAGCGCAGCGACAACTCACAAGATCGTTTTGCAAAACACTAAATTTTTTGTTTGTCAAATAACTGCTGAGCTCGTTACCTACCCTTTCAAAGTTAAGTGCAATAATTCTTTTTGGAAATGTTTGAGAATAAACTTCAATAACTTTGATTAACTAATTCTTCCTTTCTTCTACTCATCTACTTATCATATTTATCATACTTTAGGACGGGAATTTAAAAAAATTTGACGACTATCTCAGCAGCTCCATAATTTGTAAAAATGGTCGGATCCTTTGATTTCTTGGCATTAATTGGCTTAATCATAACCCGTGCGCTCCAAAAGAATCCACAAAACAATTTCAGTGCGCCTCTCTTTTAATTTGCGACTTGCTGACTCACAAAACAATGCCAACAGACATTTGGAAAAGAGTCAAAGAACGCAAGTAAATAGAATAAACATGCTGTGAAGTTTTTTGATAACATAGCCAACAGACAGTTGGAAAAAAGCCAATGAACGCAAGTAAGCAAAAAAATATTACTTATATTTTATTTAAAAAATTTCGAATTTCAAAGAATTTCGTCTTTTCGGTTGAAATAAAATCTCAGATTTCAGAAGGTAGTTCTTAAGAAAAGTCAAAACGTTTGACTTTTTCGAGAGCCATAACTTCTGGTCTTAAAAAAATGGCGTAGCCGCTTATGTAGAGGAGCGCCTTATAATACGTTCTATACTTTGAACCCGAAACCTTAGATTTGAGAAGGTAGTTTTCGATAAAACGAAAGTAAAAAACCAAAAATAGGTCCAATAATATCCCCACACACTGTTTTGAAGGCTGTAGAAAGTGGGGTAAGGTAAAAGGAGATTAGGGGATTATGCAAGCACACAGGAAAATGGTAGGAATTTCCATTGATACCGTTTTTTTTGAGAAAAGCGAGAATTTTTCCCAAAGCGTCTCAAAAAATAATTTAGAAAATAAAAAAAACACGATCCCATACATTTTCATAACACCGGTTTTCATCAAACAGAGACTTCTTTTATATTCGTACCAACCTTTTTGCTCTGATAAACAGGAATTGTGAATTTTCGTGATACGCTGTGCTCTCTCAAAAAAAAATCCTGCAAAACTCAATATTAACTGCAGCTAACCAGGCGTGAGCAGATATCGCTTGTCGCCCGAGTCTCTGGCCAATCCAACTGAGGCGGATGAGGTGACTTGGCCGTGCTGGTTAGATGCCTGACACTTGTACACTCCAACGTCCACCGAGGAGAACTGCTCAATCATCAGACTGAACTCGCTTCCTTTCTTAAGCAATGTAACAAAACTTTAAAAACTAGTAGATTTAAAGTCCACAAAAAGAGTCGTACCACCTCTTTATCGTACCGTTCTCCTTCAAGTTGAAATCTAATGATTTTATATTTCTCTGACCACTTCACGATTTTGGCAGGAACTATGATCTAGAGCGGATTACGCCCGTGATTTTACATGCTACTCTCGAAGGAGATAAAAAGTGATTTCGTATGGATGAAGATTTTCAATAATTCTCCGCATCGTGTAAAACTGGTCTGACAATTTTCTACGATTTCACAACAAAAGAGATAAATTGAACGGAGATATATACATTACATCAAGCGACGCGCAAGTTTTTCTTAATGTAATTACCGATGCGAATTTTTTGATTGATCTGTATCCGTGCAACTTGTTTTTCATAAAATATTCTCGAACTTTGTATAATTTAAAATCTCTAACATGCTGTATCTTGTGTCTGGGTGTGACCATGATCATCAGGTTGTCCTTGAACCAATTTACTCGTGGAGTAGGATTGCCCTCAATGACACACTTAAGGACCACAGTCTGACCAACTACTAATTCAGTGTCAGCCAGGCCAGACGACAGCCGCGGAGCCCCTGGATCTAAATTTTCAAATAGATATCCAGTCAACTGTTATATCCATAGCACAAATTTTACTAGTCACCATCATTCCATAAGAGTGGCTTAAAAACATTCGAGTATCGGAACATATGTTCTGATGCAGAGCCTAAAGCATTGAAATTTCTGCCTTTTTAATTTCAATATCTATGAAATTGTATTTCCTTACTTGAAACAGCTCTACACGATGTGATATCTAGATCGGCCGAATTCAACGCCTTCCCGAAATCATTCTCAGCACTGATCGCGTAGATCCCTCTGTGAGTACTCTTCACACCTTTTATGATCAACTTGTACACGTCCCCGTGCATCTCTTGCGTGATGCGTCCATCTTTTGAGAAATCAATCGGGCGCTCATCTTTCATCCACACAATCTTCGGCTGAGGCCTACCAATAACTCTCACTCTGAAGCTCGCAGTTTGTCCTTCATCAACGACTGTGCTTCTAAGCTGATCAACAACAAAGGGTGGATCCATGTGTGACGAAAAATGATTATGTGGCTCGTATGTCTGGTGAACTATGTAATGTTTCTGAGAAGACAATTCACTCGCCAGAGTGTCGTATCTGTGCTGAGTAGTAGTGGTGGTTGTGTTGAAGCTTGACATGATTCCACTATTAGCTGCACCTTCAATGGCTGACTCGCGGGTGCTGTTATGATCCTGCTTTGATGCCCCAATGTAGTTCCTCGGCGGTTCCGGTCTCGGAGCTGGAAAAACAGAATACACTAATTAGCTTAATTGTTGTGATAAATTTACTTAATGGTTTCATAGATGAAAGATGTTATATCACAAATCAATCATATCAAGGAATCACTCAAAACCGGTATCGAAGTAGAGGCACAGAGCCTTCTTTTCCAAAAGCTCATCGAAGTAATCGAGCTTCAACAGCGGAAATTATCAATTCTAGAAAACGATATCCAGGAAACATCAGAACGGGTTAGAGAATTAGAGAAAAATTGCGAAAGTTCCGCTCACTTTTTGTAAACCTTGACTATGCTGAAAACACGATGTCAGATATACTCAATTTCGTGCCTCATTATCTGACAGTAAAGCTTAGCGTCAACAATATAGCCGCCTGTCATCCTCTGAATTAAAACTAACCATCAGATGCATGGAAAAGGAAAGGTTGGCTGAAAAACCTATCATGGTCGGGGAAGGCCTAGACCCTAGAGACCGAAAACAAAAACAAGCAGCTAGACAATTGGGATTACCCGTCTACTCGCACAAACAAAATTTATACGTCCGAAATGTAAATAGCTTCTCACAAGGCCCCGCCCAGTGAAGTCCGTCAGTGAGCTGAAATTTTTTCTCCGAAATTATAGCGTAGCAGATAAATATTCTGAAGAAACAATAATGAAATCGACAACACCGAAAATTACCGAACGTGCTCCGAATCAATTGAAACACCTAAAATATCACCACCACTGCACAGAAAAACGAAATAAGGACGGAGCGATCTGAGGCCAAAAAGAAAGTTCATGCTCTCACCAATTGAACAATCAGATAAGAGAAATCTAGCTAATGCAGTAACAAATGCTCTTGTACCAGTCATTGTTAGTGCTATTCAACCGGCTGTTAAAGTTCCTAGAAATCCATCCCTTCACAAAGAAACTCCCTTTTCAGTTGAAAATGAATCCGATTAAAAATATCTGTTGTAATTCCTCATTAAGCTGCTCATTAACGCTAGGTCTCTGAAAAAACATGTTGAAGACCTGGTAGCTTTTATATAGTCTTGAATCTCCGCTGTAAAATTATGCAGAACTGAAACATGGTTAAATAAGCAAAACGATCCCAACGCTGTACTTAGAAAAGGTTACGATCAACACAGATTTAAGTTTCGTCAATTGCGAGGTTGAGGCGTAATGATTCAAGCCCTAAAGGGGAGCATCATCGTAGAAGATTTTTTCGACAATTATTGATTAGGCTTTATCGGTTGAAACCTCAAACCGTGGTTTTCAATTCGTCGTAACGGTAAAATAGAACCCTCAAATATTGAACAAACAAAAATTTAAAGAGTTTATCAAAAATTTAGATACCTTTATTGAATGCTCATCACAAATACCACAGGTTGTAAGCGGAGATTTCAATATACATACCTTGAAAACTAACTTGTTTTGTGCAAATTACACGAACACGTAAAAATTGTATGGTTTTGACTGTCAAAAGGCTACTCGAGTGTCATCAGTGTCCAAATTATGTCTCGATTAATTTGCAGTGAGAGATATAGATAATGCAAATGTAATTGTCCTTGAACATCAAGAACTTTCTGATCATTATCCCATTAGTTTAGCATTTCCAATAACACGAAAATTGGAAGAAGGTCTTGAATCTTCTTGAGATACTTCCTTTTCGAAATCCTCGGATCTAATTGACAATTTCTTATTTTCAATTAGATTCTGAAAATTAGATACGAAAATGCACATATTATACAGCAAACACATAAAGAAAACAAATTACCTCAATGGTTTACAAATCGAATAAAAAACTTGAGAACCAAGAAAAACAAATGACGCAAAAGAAGAATGACTGATAAAAACGATACGGTTAAAGTAAAGATTTTGAGCGAGCTAGGCAACTGGTAAAAAAGTTACAACAAATTCAGTAATTGTGTCGAAGACACCAGACAAACTTTCAAACTGCTCAAGATCAATTTGCTCGCGAGAGGTAAACGATCCAATGCATTGTCAATACCAATTCGTTTTTCGTGTTGCAATCAAATAGATCATCCTTCTCATTTAACTGTGGTTGAAAAATTTTCCTTTTTCTAGTAGTGAACATCATCACATCAAGTTTTTGCATGCATTGATAACTTACCGGTAAAGAAAACTTCTTCAGGCGATGATAATATAAGCAAACAAGTAATCAAAATATCAACCTTGGTAATTTCACCAACTGTATCGGAATTAAACAATCTATCTTTTCATGAAGGCAAGTCTGCGAAAGAAATAGCAAAAGCTTACGTTCTTTCATTGCACAGAGGTGGTTCAAAGAACGACGAAATATGTACATTAGAATATATGCATGCTTTAAGAATATCAAATTGGTTTTGAAAAATAACAGTTTGTATTCAGAACAAATCATATTTCAATTGACGCTTCAGTGGGGGTAACTGAAAGGTTAAGACATGAAAAAAATGGCAAAAAAACTTTTCTTAGATCTCAAAAAAAGCGTTTGATACTACTGATCAAAACTTCATAATTTAAAAATTTAACGTTTATGGAATAACAAGCAGAGCCTCAGATTGGTTAAGCAGCCATCTCAATAATGGTCAACATTTATTTGGAACAAGTTCTATTTTAGGCCCTCTGTTGATCCTTATCTATATAAACAATCTTCCTTGGGCATACAAAAACACGGAGGTGTTTCTTTTTTGCAGACGATACAAATTGATTGGGCTGGGATGAACAGCTTCAGAAATTTAAAAAGATTTGATCAAAATATAAGTGTTTGGTTAAAGGCTAACAAATTGGCATTGAACTTATACAGAACAGAACAATTGAAAGAAGGGTTAAGCATTTCTAACCACTTTCTATCAATCTTGAAAAGGTTAAATTTGCATCTTTTTGCCAGTATTTAGGGATTAGAATAGACTCCAAATTATTATTTCGAACAACATTCAACATGTTTCGAAATAACTAGCAACCATAAGTGGAATTGTTTGTTAACTACGCCATTTTATTCCCAGAGATCAGCTCTTCTGCTATTAGGATTCCAAAATTAGGCCATTGATTCAACACGGTGTTCTTGTATATAGCTGTTGTAGTTACTCGTCTCTCAATCTATTTTCCTCCTACAAAAAATATCAAGTTCATTTATTTTTGGAAGCGCAGCGACAACTCACAAGATCGTTTTGCAAAACACTAAATTTTTTGTTTGTCAAATAACTGCTGAGCTCGTTACCTACCCTTTCAAAGTTAAGTGCAATAATTCTTTTTGGAAATGTTTGAGAATAAACTTCAATAACTTTGATTAACTAATTCTTCCTTTCTTCTACTCATCTACTTATCATATTTATCATACTTTAGGACGGGAATTTAAAAAAATTTGACGACTATCTCAGCAGCTCCATAATTTGTAAAAATGGTCGGATCCTTTGATTTCTTGGCATTAATTGGCTTAATCATAACCCGTGCGCTCCAAAAGAATCCACAAAACAATTTCAGTGCGCCTCTCTTTTAATTTGCGACTTGCTGACTCACAAAACAATGCCAACAGACATTTGGAAAAGAGTCAAAGAACGCAAGTAAATAGAATAAACATGCTGTGAAGTTTTTTGATAACATAGCCAACAGACAGTTGGAAAAAAGCCAATGAACGCAAGTAAGCAAAAAAATATTACTTATATTTTATTTAAAAAATTTCGAATTTCAAAGAATTTCGTCTTTTCGGTTGAAATAAAATCTCAGATTTCAGAAGGTAGTTCTTAAGAAAAGTCAAAACGTTTGACTTTTTCGAGAGCCATAACTTCTGGTCTAAAAAAAATGGCGTAGCCGCTTATGTAGAGGAGCGCCTTATAATACGTTCTATACTTTGAACCCGAAACCTTAGATTTGAGAAGGTAGTTTTCGATAAAACGAAAGTAAAAAACCAAAAATAGGTCCAATAATATCCCCACACACTGTTTTGAAGGCTGTAGAAAGTGGGGTAAGGTAAAAGGAGATTAGGGGATTATGCAAGCACACAGGAAAATGGTAGGAATTTCCATTGATACCGTTTTTTTTTTGAGAAAAGCGAGAATTTTTCCCAAAGCGTCTCAAAAAATAATTTAGAAAATAAAAAAAACACGATCCCATACATTTTCATAACACCGGTTTTCATCAAACAGAGACTTCTTTTATATTCGTACCAACCTTTTTGCTCTGATAAACAGGAATTGTGAATTTTCGTTCCCATATCTACAGGATACGCTGTGCTCTCTCAAAAAAAATCCTGCAAAACTCAATATTAACTGCAGCTAACCAGGCGTGAGCAGATATCGCTTGTCGCCCGAGTCTCTGGCCAATCCAACTGAGGCGGATGAGGTGACTTGGCCGTGCTGGTTAGATGCCTGACACTTGTACACTCCAACGTCCACCGAGGAGAACTGCTCAATCATCAGACTGAACTCGCTTCCTTTCTTAAGCAATGTAACAAAACTTTAAAAACTAGTAGATTTAAAGTCCACAAAAAGAGTCGTACCACCTCTTTATCGTACCGTTCTCCTTCAAGTTGAAATCTAATGATTTTATATTTCTCTGACCACTTCACGATTTTGGCAGGAACTATGATCTAGAGCGGATTACGCCCGTGATTTTACATGCTACTCTCGAAGGAGATAAAAAGTGATTTCGTATGGATGAAGATTTTCAATAATTCTCCGCATCGTGTAAAACTGGTCTGACAATTTTCTACGATTTCACAACAAAAGAGATAAATTGAACGGAGATATATACATTACATCAAGCGACGCGCAAGTTTTTCTTAATGTAATTACCGATGCGAATTTTTTGATTGATCTGTATCCGTGCAACTTGTTTTTCATAAAATATTCTCGAACTTTGTATAATTTAAAATCTCTAACATGCTGTATCTTGTGTCTGGGTGTGACCATGATCATCAGGTTGTCCTTGAACCAATTTACTCGTGGAGTAGGATTGCCCTCAATGACACACTTAAGGACCACAGTCTGACCAACTACTAATTCAGTGTCAGCCAGGCCAGACGACAGCCGCGGAGCCCCTGGATCTAAATTTTCAAATAGATATCCAGTCAACTGTTATATCCATAGCACAAATTTTACCAGTCACCATCATTCCATAAGAGTGGCTTAAAAACATTCGAGTATCGGAACATATGTTCTGATGCAGAGCCTAAAGCATTGAAATTTCTGCCTTTTTAATTTCAATATCTATGAAATTGTATTTCCTTACTTGAAACAGCTCTACACGATGTGATATCTAGATCGGCCGAATTCAACGCCTTCCCGAAATCATTCTCAGCACTGATCGCGTAGATCCCTCTGTGAGTACTCTTCACACCTTTTATGATCAACTTGTACACGTCCCCGTGCATCTCTTGCGTGATGCGTCCATCTTTTGAGAAATCAATCGGGCGCTCATCTTTCATCCACACAATCTTCGGCTGAGGCCTACCAATAACTCTCACTCTGAAGCTCGCAGTTTGTCCTTCATCAACGACTGTGCTTCTAAGCTGATCAACAACAAAGGGTGGATCCATGTGTGACGAAAAATGATTATGTGGCTCGTATGTCTGGTGAACTATGTAATGTTTCTGAGAAGACAATTCACTCGCCAGAGTGTCGTATCTGTGCTGAGTAGTAGTGGTGGTTGTGTTGAAGCTTGACATGATTCCACTATTAGCTGCACCTTCAATGGCTGACTCGCGGGTGCTGTTATGATCCTGCTTTGATGCCCCAATGTAGTTCCTCGGCGGTTCCGGTCTCGGAGCTGGAAAAACAGAATACACTAATTAGCTTAATTGTTGTGATAAATTTACTAAATGGTTTCATAGATGAAAGATGTTATATCACAAATCAATCATATCAAGGAATCACTCAAAACCGGTATCGAAGTAGAGGCACAGAGCCTTCTTTTCCAAAAGCTCATCGAAGTAATCGAGCTTCAACAGCGGAAATTATCAATTCTAGAAAACGATATCCAGGAAACATCAGAACGGGTTAGAGAATTAGAGAAAAATTGCGAAAGTTCCGCTCACTTTTTGTAAACCTTGACTATGCTGAAAACACGATGTCAGATATACTCAATTTCGTGCCTCATTATCTGACAGTAAAGCTTAGCGTCAACAATATAGCCGCCTGTCATCCTCTGAATTAAAACTAACCATCAGATGCATGGAAAAGGAAAGGTTGGCTGAAAAACCTATCATGGTCGGGGAAGGCCTAGACCCTAGAGACCGAAAACAAAAACAAGCAGCTAGACAATTGGGATTACCCGTCTACTCGCACAAACAAAATTTATACGTCCGAAATGTAAATAGCTTCTCACAAGGCCCCGCCCAGTGAAGTCCGTCAGTGAGCTGAAATTTTTTCTCCGAAATTATAGCGTAGCAGATAAATATTCTGAAGAAACAATAATGAAATCGACAACACCGAAAATTACCGAACGTGCTCCGAATCAATTGAAACACCTAAAATATCACCACCACTGCACAGAAAAACGAAATAAGGACGGAGCGATCTGAGGCCAAAAAGAAAGTTCATGCTCTCACCAATTGAACAATCAGATAAGAGAAATCTAGCTAATGCAGTAACAAATGCTCTTGTACCAGTCATTGTTAGTGCTATTCAACCGGCTGTTAAAGTTCCTAGAAATCCATCCCTTCACAAAGAAACTCCCTTTTCAGTTGAAAATGAATCCGATTAAAAATATCTGTTGTAATTCCTCATTAAGCTGCTCATTAACGCTAGGTCTCTGAAAAAACATGTTGAAGACCTGGTAGCTTTTATATAGTCTTGAATCTCCGCTGTAAAATTATGCAGAACTGAAACATGGTTAAATAAGCAAAAACGATCCCAACGCTGTACTTAGAAAAGGTTACGATCAACACAGATTTAAGTTTCGTCAATTGCGAGGTTGAGGCGTAATGATTCAAGCCCTAAAGGGGAGCATCATCGTAGAAGATTTTTTCGACAATTATTGATTAGGCTTTATCGGTTGAAACCTCAAACCGTGGTTTTCAATTCGTCGTAACGGTAAAATAGAACCCTCAAATATTGAACAAACAAAAATTTAAAGAGTTTATCAAAAATTTAGATACCTTTATTGAATGCTCATCACAAATACCACAGGTTGTAAGCGGAGATTTCAATATACATACCTTGAAAACTAACTTGTTTTGTGCAAATTACACGAACACGTAAAAATTGTATGGTTTTGACTGTCAAAAGGCTACTCGAGTGTCATCAGTGTCCAAATTATGTCTCGATTAATTTGCAGTGAGAGATATAGATAATGCAAATGTAATTGTCCTTGAACATCAAGAACTTTCTGATCATTATCCCATTAGTTTAGCATTTCCAATAACACGAAAATTGGAAGAAGGTCTTGAATCTTCTTGAGATACTTCCTTTTCGAAATCCTCGGATCTAATTGACAATTTCTTATTTTCAATTAGATTCTGAAAATTAGATACGAAAATGCACATATTATACAGCAAACACATAAAGAAAACAAATTACCTCAATGGTTTACAAATCGAATAAAAAACTTGAGAACCAAGAAAAACAAATGACGCAAAAGAAGAATGACTGATAAAAACGATACGGTTAAAGTAAAGATTTTGAGCGAGCTAGGCAACTGGTAAAAAAGTTACAACAAATTCAGTAATTGTGTCGAAGACACCAGACAAACTTTCAAACTGCTCAAGATCAATTTGCTCGCGAGAGGTAAACGATCCAATGCATTGTCAATACCAATTCGTTTTTCGTGTTGCAATCAAATAGATCATCCTTCTCATTTAACTGTGGTTGAAAAATTTTCCTTTTTCTAGTAGTGAACATCATCACATCAAGTTTTTGCATGCATTGATAACTTACCGGTAAAGAAAACTTCTTCAGGCGATGATAATATAAGCAAACAAGTAATCAAAATATCAACCTTGGTAATTTCACCAACTGTATCGGAATTAAACAATCTATCTTTTCATGAAGGCAAGTCTGCGAAAGAAATAGCAAAAGCTTACGTTCTTTCATTGCACAGAGGTGGTTCAAAGAACGACGAAATATGTACATTAGAATATATGCATGCTTTAAGAATATCAAATTGGTTTTGAAAAATAACAGTTTGTATTCAGAACAAATCATATTTCAATTGACGCTTCAGTGGGGGTAACTGAAAGGTTAAGACATGAAAAAAATGGCAAAAAAACTTTTCTTAGATCTCAAAAAAAGCGTTTGATACTACTGATCAAAACTTCATAATTTAAAAATTTAACGTTTATGGAATAACAAGCAGAGCCTCAGATTGGTTAAGCAGCCATCTCAATAATGGTCAACATTTATTTGGAACAAGTTCTATTTTAGGCCCTCTGTTGATCCTTATCTATATAAACAATCTTCCTTGGGCATACAAAAACACGGAGGTGTTTCTTTTTTGCAGACGATACAAATTGATTGGGCTGGGATGAACAGCTTCAGAAATTTAAAAAGATTTGATCAAAATATAAGTGTTTGGTTAAAGGCTAACAAATTGGCATTGAACTTATACAGAACAGAACAATTGAAAGAAGGGTTAAGCATTTCTAACCACTTTCTATCAATCTTGAAAAGGTTAAATTTGCATCTTTTTGCCAGTATTTAGGGATTAGAATAGACTCCAAATTATTATTTCGAACAACATTCAACATGTTTCGAAATAACTAGCAACCATAAGTGGAATTGTTTGTTAACTACGCCATTTTATTCCCAGAGATCAGCTCTTCTGCTATTAGGATTCCAAAATTAGGCCATTGATTCAACACGGTGTTCTTGTATATAGCTGTTGTAGTTACTCGTCTCTCAATCTATTTTCCTCCTACAAAAAATATCAAGTTCATTTATTTTTGGAAGCGCAGCGACAACTCACAAGATCGTTTTGCAAAACACTAAATTTTTTGTTTGTCAAATAACTGCTGAGCTCGTTACCTACCCTTTCAAAGTTAAGTGCAATAATTCTTTTTGGAAATGTTTGAGAATAAACTTCAATAACTTTGATTAACTAATTCTTCCTTTCTTCTACTCATCTACTTATCATATTTATCATACTTTAGGACGGGAATTTAAAAAAATTTGACGACTATCTCAGCAGCTCCATAATTTGTAAAAATGGTCGGATCCTTTGATTTCTTGGCATTAATTGGCTTAATCATAACCCGTGCGCTCCAAAAGAATCCACAAAACAATTTCAGTGCGCCTCTCTTTTAATTTGCGACTTGCTGACTCACAAAAAAATGCCAACAGACATTTGGAAAAGAGTCAAAGAACGCAAGTAAATAGAATAAACATGCTGTGAAGTTTTTTGATAACATAGCCAACAGACAGTTGGAAAAAAGCCAATGAACGCAAGTAAGCAAAAAAATATTACTTATATTTTATTTAAAAAATTTCGAATTTCAAAGAATTTCGTCTTTTCGGTTGAAATAAAATCTCAGATTTCAGAAGGTAGTTCTTAAGAAAAGTCAAAACGTTTGACTTTTTCGAGAGCCATAACTTCTGGTCTAAAAAAAATGGCGTAGCCGCTTATGTAGAGGAGCGCCTTATAATACGTTCTATACTTTGAACCCGAAACCTTAGATTTGAGAAGGTAGTTTTCGATAAAACGAAAGTAAAAAACCAAAAATAGGTCCAATAATATCCCCACACACTGTTTTGAAGGCTGTAGAAAGTGGGGTAAGGTAAAAGGAGATTAGGGGATTATGCAAGCACACAGGAAAATGGTAGGAATTTCCATTGATACCGTTTTTTTTGAGAAAAGCGAGAATTTTTCCCAAAGCGTCTCAAAAAATAATTTAGAAAATAAAAAAAAACACGATCCCATACATTTTCATAACACCGGTTTTCATCAAACAAAGACTTCTTTTATATTCGTACCAACCTTTTTGCTCTGATAAACAGGAATTGTGAATTTTCGTTCCCATATCTACAGGATACGCTGTGCTCTCTCAAAAAAAATCCTGCAAAACTCAATATTAACTGCAGCTAACCAGGCGTGAGCAGATATCGCTTGTCGCCCGAGTCTCTGGCCAATCCAACTGAGGCGGATGAGGTGACTTGGCCGTGCTGGTTAGATGCCTGACACTTGTACACTCCAACGTCCACCGAGGAGAACTGCTCAATCATCAGACTGAACTCGCTTCCTTTCTTAAGCAATGTAACAAAACTTTAAAAACTAGTAGATTTAAAGTCCACAAAAAGAGTCGTACCACCTATTTATCGTACCGTTCTCCTTCAAGTTGAAATCTAATGATTTTATATTTCTCTGACCACTTCACGATTTTGGCAGGAACTATGATCTAGAGCGGATTACGCCCGTGATTTTACATGCTACTCTCGAAGGAGATAAAAAGTGATTTCGTATGGATGAAGATTTTCAATAATTCTCCGCATCGTGTAAAACTGGTCTGACAATTTTCTACGATTTCACAACAAAAGAGATAAATTGAACGGAGATATATACATTACATCAAGCGACGCGCAAGTTTTTCTTAATGTAATTACCGATGCGAATTTTTTGATTGATCTGTATCCGTGCAACTTGTTTTTCATAAAATATTCTCGAACTTTGTATAATTTAAAATCTCTAACATGCTGTATCTTGTGTCTGGGTGTGACCATGATCATCAGGTTGTCCTTGAACCAATTTACTCGTGGAGTAGGATTGCCCTCAATGACACACTTAAGGACCACAGTCTGACCAACTACTAATTCAGTGTCAGCCAGGCCAGACGACAGCCGCGGAGCCCCTGGATCTAAATTTTCAAATAGATATCCAGTCAACTGTTATATCCATAGCACAAATTTTACCAGTCACCATCATTCCATAAGAGTGGCTTAAAAACATTCGAGTATCGGAACATATGTTCTGATGCAGAGCCTAAAGCATTGAAATTTCTGCCTTTTTAATTTCAATATCTATGAAATTGTATTTCCTTACTTGAAACAGCTCTACACGATGTGATATCTAGATCGGCCGAATTCAACGCCTTCCCGAAATCATTCTCAGCACTGATCGCGTAGATCCCTCTGTGAGTACTCTTCACACCTTTTATGATCAACTTGTACACGTCCCCGTGCATCTCTTGCGTGATGCGTCCATCTTTTGAGAAATCAATCGGGCGCTCATCTTTCATCCACACAATCTTCGGCTGAGGCCTACCAATAACTCTCACTCTGAAGCTCGCAGTTTGTCCTTCATCAACGACTGTGCTTCTAAGCTGATCAACAACAAAGGGTGGATCCATGTGTGACGAAAAATGATTATGTGGCTCGTATGTCTGGTGAACTATGTAATGTTTCTGAGAAGACAATTCACTCGCCAGAGTGTCGTATCTGTGCTGAGTAGTAGTGGTGGTTGTGTTGAAGCTTGACATGATTCCACTATTAGCTGCACCTTCAATGGCTGACTCGCGGGTGCTGTTATGATCCTGCTTTGATGCCCCAATGTAGTTCCTCGGCGGTTCCGGTCTCGGAGCTGGAAAAACAGAATACACTAATTAGCTTAATTGTTGTGATAAATTTACTAAATGGTTTCATAGATGAAAGATGTTATATCACAAATCAATCATATCAAGGAATCACTCAAAACCGGTATCGAAGTAGAGGCACAGAGCCTTCTTTTCCAAAAGCTCATCGAAGTAATCGAGCTTCAACAGCGGAAATTATCAATTCTAGAAAACGATATCCAGGAAACATCAGAACGGGTTAGAGAATTAGAGAAAAATTGCGAAAGTTCCGCTCACTTTTTGTAAACCTTGACTATGCTGAAAACACGATGTCAGATATACTCAATTTCGTGCCTCATTATCTGACAGTAAAGCTTAGCGTCAACAATATAGCCGCCTGTCATCCTCTGAATTAAAACTAACCATCAGATGCATGGAAAAGGAAAGGTTGGCTGAAAAACCTATCATGGTCGGGGAAGGCCTAGACCCTAGAGACCGAAAACAAAAACAAGCAGCTAGACAATTGGGATTACCCGTCTACTCGCACAAACAAAATTTATACGTCCGAAATGTAAATAGCTTCTCACAAGGCCCCGCCCAGTGAAGTCCGTCAGTGAGCTGAAATTTTTTCTCCGAAATTATAGCGTAGCAGATAAATATTCTGAAGAAACAATAATGAAATCGACAACACCGAAAATTACCGAACGTGCTCCGAATCAATTGAAACACCTAAAATATCACCACCACTGCACAGAAAAACGAAATAAGGACGGAGCGATTTGAGGCCAAAAAGAAAGTTCATGCTCTCACCAATTGAACAATCAGATAAGAGAAATCTAGCTAATGCAGTAACAAATGCTCTTGTACCAGTCATTGTTAGTGCTATTCAACCGGCTGTTAAAGTTCCTAGAAATCCATCCCTTCACAAAGAAACTCCCTTTTCAGTTGAAAATGAATCCGATTAAAAATATCTGTTGTAATTCCTCATTAAGCTGCTCATTAACGCTAGGTCTCTGAAAAAACATGTTGAAGACCTGGTAGCTTTTATATAGTCTTCAATCTCCGCTGTAAAATTATGCAGAACTGAAACATGGTTAAATAAGCAAAACGATCCCAACGCTGTACTTATAAAAGGTTACGATCAACACAGATTTAAGTTTCGTCAATTGCGAGGTTGAGGCGTAATGATTCAAGCCCTAAAGGGGAGCATAATCGTAGAAGATTTTTTCGACAATTATTGATTAGGCTTTATCGGTTGAAACCTCAAACCGTGGTTTTCAATTCGTCGTAACGGTAAAATAGAACCCTCAAATATTGAACAAACAAAAATTTAAAGAGTTTATCAAAAATTTAGATACCTTTATTGAATGCTCATCACAAATACCACAGGTTGTAAGCGGAGATTTCAATATACATACCTTGAAAACTAACTTGTTTTGTGCAAATTACACGAACACGTAAAAATTGTATGGTTTTGACTGTCAAAAGGCTACTCGAGTGTCATCAGTGTCCAAATTATGTCTCGATTAATTTGCAGTGAGAGATATAGATAATGCAAATGTAATTGTCCTTGAACATCAAGAACTTTCTGATCATTATCCCATTAGTTTAGCATTTCCAATAACACGAAAATTGGAAGAAGGTCTTGAATCTTCTTGAGATACTTCCTTTTCGAAATCCTCGGATCTAATTGACAATTTCTTATTTTCAATTAGATTCTGAAAATTAGATACGAAAATGCACATATTATACAGCAAACACATAAAGAAAACAAATTACCTCAATGGTTTACAAATCGAATAAAAAACTTGAGAACCAAGAAAAACAAATGACGCAAAAGAAGAATGACTGATAAAAACGATACGGTTAAAGTAAAGATTTTGAGCGAGCTAGGCAACTGGTAAAAAAGTTACAACAAATTCAGTAATTGTGTCGAAGACACCAGACAAACTTTCAAACTGCTCAAGATCAATTTGCTCGCGAGAGGTAAACGATCCAATGCATTGTCAATACCAATTCGTTTTTCGTGTTGCAATCAAATAGATCATCCTTCTCATTTAACTGTGGTTGAAAAATTTTCCTTTTTCTAGTAGTGAACATCATCACATCAAGTTTTTGCATGCATTGATAACTTACCGGTAAAGAAAACTTCTTCAGGCGATGATAATATAAGCAAACAAGTAATCAAAATATCAACCTTGGTAATTTCACCAACTGTATCGGAATTAAACAATCTATCTTTTCATGAAGGCAAGTCTGCGAAAGAAATAGCAAAAGCTTACGTTCTTTCATTGCACAGAGGTGGTTCAAAGAACGACGAAATATGTACATTAGAATATATGCATGCTTTAAGAATATCAAATTGGTTTTGAAAAATAACAGTTTGTATTCAGAACAAATCATATTTCAATTGACGCTTCAGTGGGGGTAACTGAAAGGTTAAGACATGAAAAAAATGGCAAAAAAACTTTTCTTAGATCTCAAAAAAAGCGTTTGATACTACTGATCAAAACTTCATAATTTAAAAATTTAACGTTTATGGAATAACAAGCAGAGCCTCAGATTGGTTAAGCAGCCATCTAAATAATGGTCAACATTTATTTGGAACAAGTTCTATTTTAGGCCCTCTGTTGATCCTTATCTATATAAACAATCTTCCTTGGGCATACAAAAACACGGAGGTGTTTCTTTTTTGCAGACGATACAAATTGATTGGGCTGGGATGAACAGCTTCAGAAATTTAAAAAGATTTGATCAAAATATAAGTGTTTGGTTAAAGGCTAACAAATTGGCATTGAACTTATACAGAACAGAACAATTGAAAGAAGGGTTAAGCATTTCTAACCACTTTCTATCAATCTTGAAAAGGTTAAATTTGCATCTTTTTGCCAGTATTTAGGGATTAGAATAGACTCCAAATTATTATTTCGAACAACATTCAACATGTTTCGAAATAACTAGCAACCATAAGTGGAATTGTTTGTTAACTACGCCATTTTATTCCCAGAGATCAGCTCTTCTGCTATTAGGATTCCAAAATTAGGCCATTGATTCAACACGGTGTTCTTGTATATAGCTGTTGTAGTTACTCGTCTCTCAATCTATTTTCCTCCTACAAAAAATATCAAGTTCATTTATTTTTGGAAGCGCAGCGACAACTCACAAGATCGTTTTGCAAAACACTAAATTTTTTGTTTGTCAAATAACTGCTGAGCTCGTTACCTACCCTTTCAAAGTTAAGTGCAATAATTCTTTTTGGAAATGTTTGAGAATAAACTTCAATAACTTTGATTAACTAATTCTTCCTTTCTTCTACTCATCTACTTATCATATTTATCATACTTTAGGACGGGAATTTAAAAAAATTTGACGACTATCTCAGCAGCTCCATAATTTGTAAAAATGGTCGGATCCTTTGATTTCTTGGCATTAATTGGCTTAATCATAACCCGTGCGCTCCAAAAGAATCCACAAAACAATTTCAGTGCGCCTCTCTTTTAATTTGCGACTTGCTGACTCACAAAACAATGCCAACAGACATTTGGAAAAGAGTCAAAGAACGCAAGTAAATAGAATAAACATGCTGAGAAGTTTTTTGATAACATAGCCAACAGACAGTTGGAAAAAAGCCAATGAACGCAAGTAAGCAAAAAAATATTACTTATATTTTATTTTAAAAATTTCGAATTTCAAAGATAAAATTATATGGCCTAAAGCTCTTTAAGTTTCTAGAACAATTCATGATTATCATTTTCGTGATAAAAAACCCGCTTTGAGAAAGCCGGATCAATAGGTAGGTTTTTATTTCACTGAAAAATCAGAAAATTAAATTTCAACTTCAAAACTAAAAGTCAATGACGCTTTTCTTGACCTTTACACTTTCGCTGCTCGATATTGGGGTTTGCCATTTTTCAACAAAAGACATGAAATGAACTTGAAAAAAAAATGAAATGTCAACCCGCGAAACAGTAAATTTAGGCTAGGCCAAAACAAAATTAAAGACTTCCATGAAATAAAAAAATCATCATCACCTGTATGAGAGTCTGAACTACGTTCATCGACTCCTGAAAATCTCTTCTAGCAATTTTCGAAAACAAATAGATAGCCTTAAAACTTTTCAGAATTTCTAGAACAATTAATGCTGGTTACTATTTTGATAAAACTAATACAATTTGAGAAAACTGGATCAATAGGTAAATTTTTAATTCCACTGGGAAATCTTATAAGAAAAACAATTTCGCGATTAAAATCGATCACGTTTTTCGTGACTTTTACACTTTCGCTGTTGAATAGTGGAGTTTGCCTTATTTTTAACAAAAGAAATGAAATGAACTTTAAAAGAAATTAAAAGACAAGCGCGAAAAAGAAAATTTGCGCCTGAACAAATTCAAAGACTTTCCTGAAAAAAAAACTATCACGACCTATTTAAGAGTCTGAACTAAGTTCAACGACTCTTAATAAAATAGCTCCGTTGTATCACATCATAATAATAAAATTGTAACTAAACAATCAGATGAAAAAATGAGGAATTCTTTTACAATAATATCACTATAAAGAGCTTAGGCTAAAATCAAGGTATTTTCAGACATCTCAAAAATAAATATAGCACTCCGCTGTTTACTGACGCGTATTGAATTATAGAGGGAAAAAATATCTTAGAGACACACCTTGGAACGCTTGTAGATTTGCAGTGGTCTTCGTCACTCCTTTTTCGTTCTCCGCGGTGCACGTGTACATCCCCTGATCGTTTTCATCCACATCCTCAATTGTCAGAACTTTCTCGGGTCCAATCTTGAAATAATACAAAAGATAAGAAACATGAGTGATATCAAAAAAATGATATCAAGTATCTCGCTTTCACGATTAGTACTGGAAGTAAACTAAATCGTAACAAAAAACTAGCCAACAAAAAATTGGTAAAGTTCAATTAACTCAAGGAAACCGAAAAAACCTCTCTTTCAAGATTGACATTTTAAACAAAAAAAAACAAATAAGGTCAATAATTAATTTCAATCCGCAGGGTTATACTGACACTCACACCATTTTTGAAGCTATATGTCATTGACGTTTCTTCTCGCCATTGCGCAATTGGTGAGTTTTTTCCATTCATTCAGCAAATTAAGTTGAAGTGAACTCAAATTAAAATGAATAAAAAACAAAAGCAAAACTCAAACCGCGAAAAAATACCGATGGGCTTGATTAAATGTTAAAAAAAATTAAATAAGGGTCTTCACTTCGTTCTTTGACACTTTGACACTTAATCACGAACCATCTCCTGTAACGAATTGTTGCCTCATGCGTATAAAAACATAGATAACGAAGAGGCGAAACGGAGCTTCAGACTACTTGCCATAAATCACTCGAGACCAGCTAAAGCTGGCTAAATCTGTTTGATATTTTTTGAATTTTTGTACTGATGCGCAATGAAATGGGTAATTTCAAAAATTCAAAAGTTGGGCTTCAAGCAAAACCGTAGTTGGTTCTCTTATAAAGGAGATAACTTTTTAGAGAAATTGGAAATTTACCAGAAAAAAATGTTTTTCGTACAATTTTTCAGGCGTAGCATCTTTTGCACGTAAGCTTCCGACAAAATGTTACTTCGATTTAAAAATTTGACATGAGATTCGGCAGAGAAGTTATCGCGAAAAGTCAAGTTTCAAAAATAAACAAGAAATCAAAACCTTGACTTTTCTAAGGGCCATAATCTTTTGCTTATCAAAATTCGAACGTCGCTGATAATACAGGGAGCTTCTCTCAAACTTTTCTTTTGATTCAACTCAGAACCTCTCATTTGGGCTGGTAGTTTTCGAGAAAAGACAAAAACTTTCAACAATAATGCTTGGGATTTCCCTAAAAACCGTTTTTCCATTGAACCCATAATAATGACAGAAGATAACCTTCGAGAAAATCAAAATATTTCAAAACACGGTCTTAAATCAAAACTTGTTTTTTTTCGGTCTAAAAATCAAAATTTGTTGAGGGCCATTACTTTTTGTGGAAAAAACATTTAGGTTTAGCCGCTAATGCAGTGGAGCTTCAAGCAAAACGAAGTATGACAAAACAATTTTTTTGCTGTCCACTAAGAAAATCTCGAAAAATTTTTGCCGCCCAGCAGAAAAAACCTCACAAAACGGTCAAAAAATGATCCGAGGACCACTTTCAGAGGATTTTTGTGTTTAAAAAAATTGGGCATAAACGCTGATGCAGAAGAGCTTCCAACAACCTGTACTGTCCATTGAGCCCAAAAGACTAGATTAAGGAGGGTAGGTTGTGAGAAAATGTCAAAAATCCAAAAAAAGAACCTTCAAGGAACGCGGCCAATTTCGATTACCAACAGATTCTCAAACCTAACAAACATGCAAATTGCAGCTCACAGGAAATTGATTATTATCCCTAGAAAGTAAACTTTAAAAAAAAAAATACGAGTAAAATTTGAAAGAAGTTGGGCAATCAAAATTGAGTTTGATTGGAAAAACCTTAAAAATAAGATGGATATTTAGGACAAAACCAAACAAGGAGTTTCCCATCACTTGCGGTACAACTCGAGCACAGGATTGCAAGCCAGTGAATAGAAAAGACGAAAAAAACGGAGAGGTTTTACATTCAACACTTCAGCTACTAAGCCAACAAAGCGTGGGTAGACGCCCATTGAACCGAAAATAAAGAGTGTAATAAGAAGTTGTTTTCATAATAACTTTGTGAGCAAACTATCTGATTTAAATTTAAAAAAAAAAACAATCAATTTTTGCCCTAGAAGCGACGGAAACCAAGGTATATAAACCGAGAACCCATAAACCGAAAACATTTGAAAAGCTGTTAAGCGAAAAAAAAACACCTGCAAAGTCAGGGCTTTTAATTGCAAAAAATACAGGAAAACAACGAAAACACTTGCATCTACGATGAAAAATGCTGACTGCACAAGAAAAAACAATGCTGCTACTAAGCCGACAAAAAATAAGCAGACGAACAAAAGTCCAACAATTCAACTTTTCCCGGAAAGATTTTTTCAACTTTATACATACTGAAAAAAAATAGCCAACAGACAGTTAGAAAAGAATCAATGTACGCAAGTAAATAGAAAAAAAAATTGACTGGTTTTTTGAAAAAATCTCAACTTGACCTAAGGGTGCAGAGACAACGGCGTTACCAAGTAAAAAGGAGTCTCGGAATTTCTAAGGTAAAATAATAGAGCAACTCCAATTTCAACTCCAGATTTGTTTTTACGGGAGAAACGTTTAGCTCCCGATTACAAGAAACTTGCTCAACCAAATGTAAAACACAAAACTTAGTAGATATATATCACTGCCAACGTTTTTTGATATCCATTGAGATTGAGAATAGGTTAAATAGTTTTAAGAACAATCGCCAAACATTATTCTCTAAGTTGTCAGACCAATTAATGACGAAATTACAGTCTCGATAGATCTTAATCAAGCAAGGAGAACAGAAGTCTTGAACTTTGTTAACAGTTTATATAGTAAGCACTAGTCGGGTGATGACTACATAAAATATACATACGTGCAAGAATTTGAGTTGTGACGACCTTTCTAACCTTCATCATCGATCATCAACCTTTATTTTCACGGCCATCCTTCTCACAAAATTTGCACAGCAGACGCGTTTCCTCTACTCGAAGAAGGATTGAGAACGGATGAAATTAATTGTCTGGGCTTGTACTTATTGTTTCAAGAAAAAAACATGAACGATCAAAGTACAACTGCGTTTCTTTTTACCTTTTAAGTGATCGCTTTTCTTTTTCAAACAATACTCACCGCAATAGACAAAACACAAATGAATGAGCCTTCAGCAAAATTAACCAAAAAAGATCACTACCAGCTATAGACTTTTTACAGCTTTTCTTGAATATGAAAAGAATCTTCGATTGACCACGAAATACTAATTATACGAAACAGTCAGTGATAGAGTGGACCACACATTCTATTAAACTGCCATTACTCTGCAGTAAGAAAGGTCAAAACGGAGAGCTTGCTTTTGCGAGTTAGAAAAAAACAGTCGCTTTGCCAATTACAACAATTATTGGCTTGCGCAAAGTAAAAACCAGTTATGAAGCCAGATTTCTTCGACAGATAAAACTTTGCATAATTTTTTAAAAGTCTTTCAATTAAAGACGTGAAGGGCTTCAATTTGATATATTGTATGACCCATTCTGATAATTATTTGCAGAAACTACTTTTGCGTACAAATAAAGTAAAAAATACTTTCAAAACCCACTCGAAGACAAAGTTCCTCCCCACTTCCACTGGTCGCAACTAGTGACTAATATTCTGAAGTAGTGACTAAAAAAAGAACTAGTGAGTAATATTCTCAAATTTCAAATTTATACTAAGCTGAAAAGGTCTAGGGTGCATTTGCTTTCGAAACCTATTTGCAAATAAGGAACTGAAGGTAACCTAGGGCCCAGATAAAGCTGGAGGTACGTGTTTGATATTTTTTGAATTTGTTATACTGATGCGGTACGAAATTAATAATTTCAAAAATTGGACTTTGCCCCAAACCTTATTTGTTTCCCTGATAAAGTAAGTGGAAAGAGAGAAAATTTTTGAGACTTTGGAATCTTCCTAAGGACATAATTTTTCGCATATAAAAAAGTAAGGAGTAACCGCTTCTGCTGGAAAAATTCGCGAGCCGGCTTTCGATTGAAACTTCCATCTAAGATTTGATAGGATAGTTTAGGAAAATTCAAAAAGTTTCTACAAAAACTGTCAAAGTTCAAAAACTTGACTTTCAGAAATCCGTAATTTTTTTCTACTAAAAGCAAGTCGTTGCCGGTACAATAGAAAAATTCCCATAAACAAGTTTCTCGATTGGAAATTTAACCTTATAATTGGCACGGTAATTTTTGAGTAGAGTAAACAAACTTCCAAAAACAGTCAAAGTTTCACTAGTTTGAATGCCACGATTTTATTCGTATGATAACTGAGTGTAGCAAATTATTTAAAACAGCTTCCAACAACCTGTCGTGTCAATTTGACTTATGATATCATATTTAGCAGGATAGTTATCGAGAAAAGTAAAAAAACGGTCAACCAATCCGAAAAGTAACATTTCCTAGAATCAAAGCTTTTTGTTTGAAGAAAAATTGGTAGTAGCCACTTCTGCAGAAGAAAATCACGCAACCGGCAATTTCGATTGAACCCGTGTCAATCCAAAGAACGATTTATGAGAAGCTCCTTTGCATACGCGACCAATCACGCCCAAGTTTTTTGACACAAAACTTGGGCGTGATTGGTCGCGTATGCAAAGGAGCTTCTCATAAATCGTTCTTTGGATTGAACCCAAAATCTCAGATATAGGAGGTTTTTTTTGGTGAAATTCATAATATTGAGAAAAAAACGCTCAAAAACCTGACTTTTCCGAGGACGCTAGCTTTTTGTGTAAGAAAACTTGTGAGGCCGCTAAAGCAGGGGAGCTTCGCGCTACCCGTCAACTACCATTGAACCGACAACCTCAGGTTAATTTTCGAGAAAATTAAAGATTCAAAAAACGGTTAAAAATCAAAAATTTGACTATTTCGAGCGCCAAAATTTTTTTTGTAGAAACATTTTGGGTATAGCCGCTTATGGAGGTGAGCTTTTCAAATTCGTTTATCATTAGAATCGAACAAAAACGAAAATAAAATAACTTTCAAATAATCCCCACAGACTTTTTCGAACGCTGTAGAGAAAAAGTTAAAGCAAAAAGAGACCACGGGAGTATGCAGACACACAAAAATGTAGGCGGTCTTTCGATGGATACCCCCTCTTTTGAAAATCGGTAACAGGGTTTCTGAGATCAAACTAAGTTTTTTTTTGCAAAAAGTGATAAAAAATTTCGAAGCTTCTCAAAAAAATGAAACAAAAAACCGATTCCATACCCTTTCTAATACCTGTTTTTATCAAACAGAAATTCTGGGCAAACATGCCAAGCAAGACAGTTGAAACTCAAATTAGCGACTGAACAAAAATTACGAAGCGAAAACAAAGCTGACAATAGTGGATCCAAAAAAAACAAAGCAGACACTAGTTAAACCGAAAAAAAACTGATTTTGTAGTAACCTATTAGTGAAATTGAGCAAGTCAGCTTCATCGTGATTCAGCTGAGTTTCTTAAACTAGTTGTTAACCCGAAAAAAATCTACATTCCGATTTGATAACGCTCAATAATCGCAAGCGTAATGAATGAGGCAAATTGTGGTATAATGAGGCAGGACAGCTCCGACGTTCACGATGTTTGCGGAAAAAATTACCGTCCAAAACCCCATCGCGCAAAACAATGAAATCATTCAAAAAAATAAACAAAAAAAAGAATTTTTATCTAACCCATCACCTTATAAGTTTTAACAGCTATGTAGATCTGAACAACAGTATGCGCCAAGTGGTGTGACGAAAATATTTTAAAAAACACCTGATTTATACCTCCTAGGATCCTGTTGACTGTCTTCTCCAAATCTCAGATTCTTTGGCTTTATAATTAATTATATGTTTTTTCAAGTGGGAGAGATAAATTATTTCTACCAACTTCTTCTTTATTACTATTACATCTTTCAGCCAGACAACTTACCTCGGATATTTTGACCCGGCCACCCGGTCTCAACAGTTTCGAGTCCTTGTACCACTTAACCAGGGGAGGCGGATGGCCTTCAATTGTGCATCTCATTTCAATTTCATCGCCAGACACAACTGCAACTCGGCTCAGCTGGCTCACAATTCGAGGAGCTACGACAATGGGCCGCGGAGATTGCTTCTGACTTTCCCTCTCAGGAGTGTCGTACAATTGTTGCTCCAGCGGCGCCGATTCCGTCGGTTTGTCTCTTTGAATAACTTCAATATCCTCTTCAACCACTGCAGGTTTAGGCATCACTTTCTTTGGATTAATTCCACTTTGAGCGTCCAGATCAGTTTCGGCTATGTTTCGCCTCGCCCCCTGGTATGCCACAAAATTGTTTTGCTGCACGTTCGTCTGTTTGAATTTAGACGAGTTCTGATACACATCAACCGTCTCTTCGTATTCGTGAAGGTTGTAACGACTGCTTCGGTTGCTTCCTCTTCCGTCAAACCGAGCTTGACTCTGATCAAGCTGCTTAGCGGGTCTCGGTTCTGAAGCAGATTTGAAAACTAGATTCAAATGAGCTTTTAATACCGAAAGGGGCATCGAAATCGCTGCTTAATAGGTAACCAAAGTTTTCGAACAAGCACTGACACTTAATCATTCTTCCTTCGCACATCCAAGACTACTAAGTAATAGGCAACAATGAAAGCGATTCAATTCACTGCAATAGATCATTCTATTTGAAATTGCCAAACAGAAGCCCAAAACTTAATCATACACAAAGACAGAAACCAAACCAGAAAATTTTAAATAAAAAGTGAGCGACTTGCATTAGACAAAAATTTACTCGTATTATAACTCAAGCGTTGCTTATTTGAAATTAATTCGAACAAAAAACATATTTGCAGAATGGTCCTATCGGTCGTGTAGCTAAGAAGACATATAACGGATTCTATGTAACAGAAAAAGCGGAGTGTTTTCTCCTATATCTACTCCTAGCTGTTCCAGTCACAGAAGCAAAATCAAGTAACATACATGAACGCCTGAGAGGTACATAATGGGTTCGAGTGGTTTATCATATTAAGGCCCTTTCAAGGATATTCGAGTTGAAGATTTTAACAAGTTTTCCTTAGCTGAAAAAATAAGATGTTCAAATTTTTTAAATCACCAGACTCCTATCATTGTTAAATTTAAGCAAGTGGACTTTTGTTTCTTCAATCCTAAATTCAGCAATTTAGTCCTTGAGGCCTATATTCACACTTTCAACGATACTTCCTCCTAAACCGCCAGCAAAAAAGAAAAACCCGATTAATACTGCAATAATTGTGTGACCTCAGAATTACCTTGGACTGTCAAAAAACACACGGAATGTGCTTTGCCGAATTCATTTTCGGCTTCGACAGCCAATCTTCCTTCTTGCTCTTTATGCACTGAGTCGACTATAAGCTCACAGTAGCCACTTCCCTGTACAATGCGACACTCTTTCCCACTGATCAACTGGCGATTCTCCAGGTACCACCGGACGACTGGTTCCGGATCCCCAGATATGTTGCACTTTAGTCTCAGTTGCGATCCAGAAGTGACTGTCTGGTTGTCAAGCTCAGCCAAGATAATTGGAGGCTCTCCATCTAAGGTAACGAAATCAAAATCTATATATGTTCAAAGCAAACTGTTCTCACAGCTCTTCCGTTTAAAATGTTCAAAATACCTAACTCACAATACAGTATGCACCTTGCAGAAGTAAGGACGCCAAAACTTTCTGATATAAATGATGTTAAAATGAAGTTATCAGTTAGTCCGAATCCATTTAACCCGAATGCTAACCTGGCTGAATCGGAAACACGACCAGTTTGCACGAGGTCACCGTAGAATCCTGAGTGACATTGTTCTTTGCTATGCAATGGAATATTCCCGAGTCATCAATTCGAGCGTCCGGAACAATCAGTCTATTTGTTCCATCTAGTTCTCTTAGAACTCTGTTCTGGGGACCATCGATGATCTTCAAATTGTTTACCTGCCACTCAACTGATATGATCTCTTCGTTTAGGGCGTTTTTAGCCGAGGTGTCCAATTTGCAGATAAACTCAATCTGCTCGCCTTCTTGAACATTCAGGTCAGACAGTGGCTGAATAAACTCTGGGCTCTTTCGCTTCTCCAGCCAATCTACAGTAGAATAATTTAAGAAGTTTGAGCGCTTTTAACTAACATTTACTACTTATTCGATTTAATTATGAAATTTCTAACTGCTTCAGCCTACCTTGCAACGCCCCGAGAAAAGCCTTGATATCCAGCAGCAATCTTTGCCGTTGCACCCTGATTCGATCAAACAGGATTTCGACGTCAATGGGATCTGCGAGATACCCCGAAGTATCCTACAATAACAAAAAGTTAAATACATTTACCACCACAGTAACGGACTTGTGAATCCTATCCCCCTTAATAGAGACAGAAAAAAACAGCTTGGCTAAAATTTGTTAGTTAACCAAATGAACAGCTCCCCAATCTAGTTATTAATTAGCTGGCTTGATCTTAATTTACTACTTGGTCTCCAATTTCACCTGTTGTCTCAGTTTGAAGACATCGCTAATTGCTTTTTCCAATTCTTCCATGCACTTCGAGGAGTCTTCTTTGAAAGGCGCCACATCGAAAAGGGTCTTGGAATCAATTGCCGAAAAGCATCTGCTTTGACACTCGCTGTCTATCATCAGCAACTCCTTCAATCCATTCTGAAAAACAAAAACAATTATTCAAATCTTGTATTAGAATCAGAGACACCACTCGATAGGCAGCCAACCTTTTTTGCAGCCAACTTTATTGCGATAAATAATGAAAATTCAACGAGTGAGATTCAATTTGCAGAAAAAAATTGCTCTTTTAAATTCATTGCTGAAAGCGATAACTAACCGGACAATACTTCAGTATTGAGAAAAATTGATCACTAGACAAACTTTTTTATTTCGCTGGGAAATCAGATAATTTGATACATTAATAGTATAAAATAGGTATTCCCTTTGAAACGTTTTCTCAAGCAGTCTACTCTTGTTAGACTCTTGTACGCTTTTGTTTGAAATGAATATTTAATACGAAATCAATTTCAAAAATTGAAACGCTGCTAGGGGAAGATACTTATGAAGGTCAGTGGGGGAGATAGTACTACGGTTAATCCCAAGTTTTAGGACTTTTCCTGAAAAAAAAAACAAAAAAAAAACAAAATACTTAAAAAAATACATTTACACACAGAAGCAAAGCGGAGCTTCGCACCACTTTGAGTTATGACCTTTGCCTGTACTCATAGAGTAATTTCAGATGAGGTAAATAAATTTTAATATTAATCAATAACATAATTGATTTATAAATACTAGTTTAGAACTAGTTCCAACTTGCAATACAACACAAAAAGGAACCAGTCGAAAAAAAAATTCGTAAGTTGAAAAAAAGTGAACCAAAATTTTCGTATGTCTAGTTCAAAAACAACAGCTGTAGATGTGTATGCTATTCAATGAACTTGCCATACTGATGCGGCATGAAAAATTTGATTTCAAAAATTGGACTTTGCCCAAAACCTTTGCTGTTTCTCTAATAAAATAAGTGGGAGAATAAAATTTTGGACAATCAATTTTTCCAGGGAGATTATTTTTTATAGAAAAAACTTCTGGGCTGCCGCTTCTGCGGGAACCATTGTCACAACCGGTTCTCTCAGTGAAACTTTCCACTTCAGATTTGATGGTTAAATTTTCAAAAAGATTCTGAAAAACGTTCGAGTTTTAAAAAAACGGTCAAAACGATTTCAAAAACCAGTGAACTTTCCTGCAAAGAGCAGACTGTGGCCTCTTAATCAGAGAAGAGTCCCAAAACCGGGTTTCTCGATTGAAGACAACCTGAGAATTGGCACCGTAGTTTTCGCGTGAAGTCAAACAGTTTGCAGAAAACTGTCAAAGTATGAAAGCTTCGACACGTTTAAGGCAATACCTTGTTCATTAAACAAACTGGGCATAACCAGTTATAAAAATAGGCTTTTAATTATCTGTTGTTTTGATTAAGCTTATGATATCAGATTTGGCAGGACAGTTATCGAGAAAAGTCCAAAAAAACTATCAACTAACCAAAAACTTGACATTTCCGAGAATCATAGCTTTTTGTGTGAAATAATAGAGCGTAACCGCTGAGGCAGAAGGATTCACTTAACCTGTAGTTTCAATTGAACCCAAAATATCAGATTTGAGAGGGTAGTTCTCGAGAAATAACAAAAAATTTAAACGAAAACGGTCAAAAAATCAAAATTTTGGCTTTTCAGAGGGCCAGAATTTTTGGTGTCAGAAAAATTTTGAGTAGTAACATAAGCAAATAAGCTTCCCACATCCCGTTTTTGAATTGAAATATGGCAGGGTCGTTTTCGAGAATATTCAAGAAGTTCGATAAATGGTCAAAAATCATTCAAAAAATAATCTTATGTGTAAACTAATTTGGGCACAGCCACTCATACTGCAGGGAGTTTCTTGAAACTGTTCTATTCATTGAAACCAAAAACACAGATTTAAGAGGGCTTTTTTTCGAAAAATGGGTCAAATCAAAAATATGGGTCAAATATTAATTACCCCACAGACTTCTTCGAAGGCTGAGAGGCCTCAAGTAAAAAGAGACTCTAGGGGAGTATACAGGCACAGAGGGGAGTAGGCGGTCTTTCAATTGATACCATTTTCTGAAAATCAGTAGAAGTTTGACAAAAACTGAATTTTTTGCAATGAATTTGGAAATACTTTTCCACAATAAAGAAGGGAATTTTCAACAAACAGATTGGTAAACATAAAACCAACAAGAAAATTGCGGAGGGTAAAGTTCAAGTTGTGTTTCCCTTGAAAAGACCCAATATTACGTCATAAGGCCGATAAAAATTCGGCCGAAACAATTTGGAACGAGGAATTTTTTAAAGCAAAGCAAAAAAACAAAGAAGGAAATACGAAGAGGGCCAGAATTTTAAAAAGGTAAAAAAAATTACAAATTGTCGGAGTAAATCAAACACTAAAAGCAACATTAATGAATGCTCGCAGCAAAAAAAAAACGATTACAAGATTTGACAATTAAGCAGACAACTGATAAGCAGACAAATAATTGGTCGAAAATTTGGAAACAGAATATTTACCCTTTGAAAACAAAAACAGGTCCTGGTCAGATTCGAACCCAGTGCCTTTGCCGTCCCAGGAATATTCGTTACCTCAAGGTTAAGTTGACCAAGGACGCGTAGAAGTTTGAATTTATTCACACACAAAAAAAAACACATTAGATAGAACGGGTATTTGAAATGCAAACAAGCTCAAATTATGTCTTAATTGACGAAAAAGCAGATTTGAAAAAATGGTTGAAAAAATAAGGAAAAGAATCAGTCTATGTTCCAAAACAATAACGCTTGCTAGACTCGAGCACAATAATCGCAAACGTAACAATTCCGAGTACAATAAAAACAGAAAAAAACTTCAATATTTTTGAAAAAAACTTCAATGTTTTTGAAAAAACTTCATTAAAGTTTTAAAAATTACTAGCGTGTAACACACCCCCGGGGCTTTGAACAGGTTCATGACCGTGAAAACTGCTATTTATAGCACATGAAAAAATTGAATGCAACCAAAACAATAGACGGTGCATCTAACAACGCCTTCTATTTAAAAACTAAACCTTACTATGGCCATAAGCATTTAACTGCACTTTCATTGTTTGAAAAATCGTTTGAAACGATTTCATCTGAAAAATCAATAAATTAAATTCATATATGAGATTCTTGTTAAACTAAGTTCTTCATTTTCACTAGCCCCTACGCATATTTTTTGCTGCCATCAACATAGTAATCACCAAACATACTCGGCATAGTAAATTTCAAAAAAACCATTTCTTTTTTCTTCCTAATTCGTAGTATCAAAAAAATTTCATAATAAGAATATCAAAAGAAAGCTCAATTTCAAAAACTTGAAAAATATGAGCAAAATATTAGGATGGAGGCCACATCTGCAATTGCTGTTGGTAACCTGACATCAACCCACCAAAAACAAATTGTCAGATTGCCGACATATCTAAATCTTTGAAATTTCATTAATACTTCATATCTCAGAAACAAAAGTTATATGAACAGTCAAACTTGGAGGCGATATCTGCAACCTCTGAGAGCATCCCACTTTAGGGTTGGGATTATCATATGAGAAAAAATTCAAATTTTTTCAAATTCATATTTAATTCAATCTAGGAAACTTAAAACATTTTAGCAGTCAAATTTGGAGGCAAGATTTGCAACACCTGAGAAAACCATGACAGCACCCATTTACAGGATTGGGTAATTCCAATTTTCTGAAAAATTTTTCATCTCACATTTGAAAACGTTAGAGAAATCATAAAAACGTCAAATCTCGGAAACTAAAAAAACTTCAGCAGTCACATTTGAAAATAAGATTTGCAACGCCTGAAATTACAACACCTGACAAAGCCTTACTATAGGGTTGGGAAATTCAAAGCAGAAAAGTTCATCAAAAAACATCACATCTAGGAAATTTTATGCATTTGGAGGCAGAATTTTCAATTCCTGAGAAAACACTGGCAGCATCCACCTATAAGTTTGTGCAAACCCCATTTCGTGGAAACTTTTAAATCCCTGTTTTGAAAACCTTTGAAAAATCCTAAAAAAGTCAAATTTTGGAAACAACTAAAATTTCAGCAGTCACATCTGAAAATAAGATTTGCAACGCCTGCGAAAAACTGAGAGCGCCTAACTATAGAGATGTAAATTTCAAATATTTCGACTTTTTTGTATCTGTTGTTTGAAAACTTTTGAAAAAAGTATTAAAAAAAACGTCATATCTCGGAAACTAAAAGCATTCGAGCAGCCACATTTGGAGGCAAGATTTGCAACCCTTGAGAGTACCCTGACTCTAGCCAACTACAGGGTTGGGAATTTCAACATTTATAAAATTTTTTGAATCTAACTTTTCAAACTTGCAAAACATCATTTAATTTGTCGTATACCTCGTAAGTTAAAAGGATTTGAGTGTTCACATTTGGAGGCCAAGTTCGCAACCCCAAGTTCGCAACATAATTCCACTATTGGTTTTCAAATTTCAAAATTGATAGAACAACACTAAGTTTTAAGGTTTTTCAGCTTGAATATAAATATAAGACACAGAGGCGAAGCTGCGCATCGCAAACACTAGCCAGAACAAAACAGTAATGAAAGAAAAAATATAAATAAGACTCGAACTAGTAAAACTTTGATATGTATTTGCTTCGAACCTACGAAATCGAGAATTGGAGTATCACGCCCTGCCCTCTCGGCCACGAACGCTTAACAATCAGCGAACTTTAGTAACAAATAAACTAGCTATATATGCTTATAAAATGCCAATGCGAGGCAGGAAAAGGGGCACCAAATACAAATAGACTCAATTTTGCAAGTAATTATTTGGATTATAACAAATTGAAGGCATCCAAAATAACTTTGCATGCAACAAATCGCGAAGCATAAAACCACTTTATGTATAAATTATCCATTTCAAAAATTGCAAGAGACATTCAATAAGAAAATTTCTGAAACCGAGTTTTTAATAGTTTTATGTTGTTTAAAACAAACAGCTTTTTTTCGGCTCATTTGATGAATAAAAAATCCATCAGCTGTGTAAACTTCTAACTATTCGAATGTCAAGGCTCATGCTGTCAAAAAGCCGTAAAGGTGCAACCAAAAGTGGCACCAATATTTGTGACTTAGGTTAGAAACAAAAAGACTAGTCGTACTATAACAATAACGCTTACTAAACTTTGCCAGTGTAATAAAGCTCAAACGGGAAAAATTTCTTTCGTTTAAACACAAAGATATTACGTTGAAGAAAATTAAACATGGCAAGACAGTGAAGCCCTAAATAATTAGCATTCAAAAACTATGAAGATAGTTGAAATTTCAAAGAGAGTCTGTGCTACCTAAACGAAGTCGACAAAAACAAAGTAGGAAAATAGTTCGCAAAAGCAGAAAATTTCTAGTTCGAAAAAAATACAGGTGCCGACCGGATTCTAATCAAAAACCTTTGCGGTCTCAAGCATTTCTGTTACCTGTACGCCAGATGCGCTTGATGGTTGATTGATTTTGAATTGACTACACAGACGAAGCGGAGCTTCGCGCCATTTGCGATACAAAACAAACACAAAAAAGTAGAAAAATGCTTTAAAAAAAATAATAAGTCTACCAAATATAAACTTTCGTATGTCTCGATAAAATTTAATTCTAGGAAAACATTCAGACAAATGAATACTAAATTAGCAACAGAACAAAGCTTACGAAGAGGAAAAAACGCCGACAACCTTAAATCAGACACAAGTTAACCCGAAAAAAAAGAACTTATAACAAAAATCTATCCATCATAAAACAATACATCCCCAGAAAAATCCGTGAGGTGGCATATATGCCGACAGACAATCTTTGAGCAAACACCAATTCTGCCGAAAAATTTTAAATTTTTTTTTTTAAAGTTTCGAGTCACCTGAAGCTCCAATTAACAACATCTGCACTTGCAACTACAACGAATTTTGCTCAGAGCACAATCAAAATCCTTGATGTGGCAACTTAGCGGACAATATTGAACAGGTTACGAAAATCCTACTATTCAAAATGTACCGGAAAAATTTCCATCAATTTTTACCGGAACGTACTGAAAAAAAAACAAGGTCCGGCCGGAACTCGAACCCCAGGCCTGTCTGGCCGCAATGCGGGTGCATTCAAAGGAGACGACGGTACCCATAAGCCAAAAAGGAAGGGACTTGGAATTTTTTAAGGCACAATAAAAGTCTAGTTCCCTATTGATATACACTTGCTCTCGCAAGTGTACAAAAAGCTACACAAAACATCTTAAGATATCGATGAACTCAATTGCAAAAGTCAATTTGCCAAACTAAGCAGACAATACTTGGGTAGACAAACGTTGGTCTTAAAATAAACATTCTGAGTTTAAGCTATGAAAAAATTTCAAGCACCAAGGTTATACGCTCACCCTTATTACGTTTGTCTCCAAAGACCTTCAATTTGCAAACAAAAATATGTCGAGAAAGACAATTGTCGTGTTAAATAAGCATTGAAACCGCAACTGAAAGCTGTGACTACCAAGTCAATATTTCAGTATACGACCGTTGAAAACGAACGAAAAAGCTTTTTTTGCCTTTCAAACGTCATTTTATGAAGCAACAAAGCCGATATAGCAAGCCGACGCTAGGCAAGCCACAGAAATCTTCTAAGCAAAAAATGAAACAAAACACAACGCCAACAGACATTTGCAGACAACATCTGCGGTTTTAAATTCATAACTGAAAAGGACATATAACCAGTCAATAATTCGGTAGACGACAAAAACATAAAACAGAGCGAACAGACAGCTGGAAAAGAACCAATGAACGCAAGCAAACAGGAAAAAAAACGTATTTTTGAAGAAACATCATCTTTCAATTCTAGAAAAAACAAATGCCCTTAAAACTCTTTGAATTTCTAGAACAATTGGCATGTGATTGGCACTTTTTTGATAAAATTAACCCAATGGAGAAAACTGGATCAATAAGTCAACTTTTCACTTCGCTGGGAAATCTGAAAAGTAAATTCCACTTTCGAAACTAGAATTCGATCACAGTTTTCGTGACCTTTACGCTTTCGCTGCTCGATAGTAGAGTTTGCCTTCCTTTTAATAAAGGAAATGAACTGAATTTAAAAATAAATCAAAGTCAAATCGCGAAAAAGTTAATTTGAGCCTGAACAAAATTGAGCGTGAACTACGGTCATCGACTCTTAAAAATTAAAAGAGAATTACACAAAAAATCAAAATTAAATTACAGTAAGAATTGCTTAAATCAGAAAGAAAAGTCCATGCTTTGCCAAAAAGAGATAGCGGAGAAACAATAGTCCGACAATTTCATATTCCAAAAAAATCTTTCGATTTGATGACTGAAATCGCGCACAGTCGGAATCGAGCCCATTACGTTTGTCTCTTCACAATCATGGTCGTTGTGGTCTCTATGCTAAAGTTAAAGAAACCGTCAAGAGATTCAAAGTATTATGAAGCACGTAACATATCACGTGCGAATTCTGTTGGCTGTCTGTAAAAGGTAATTAAGGGTAAAAAATCTAGTCAGTACCCGATTACAGTACCAGTTAATCGCAAAGGTAATAGTTAAACTCAAAAAACCAGAAAATTTTCATATCATTCATTCAAACGCTTTTTCTGAGAGCTGCCTCACAAAAAAAATGGAAACATCGTAAAAACCTACTTTGAACTTTGCGTCCTGCTCATTTTCAAGACTATTCACGGCACCATTTGAAGATTCCACCACTTCTTTGCTCATTATAATGAGTTTTTGAAACGCTTCTTTAGAGCCGGCAACATCTCCTTGTGTCATTTTCACTTCAACTTCGTCGCTGATCGGCACGATCACACGGTTATTTCCAGTCTAGAAATTTGAAACAAAATACTGACGATACATCTACTAGCATAAAGCTCGACTAGCATGAAGAAATTAAAAAAAAAATCGTATGAAAACATACTGGCATGAAAATACACAAAATTCAATTAATGAAAAAAATTAAAATCAATATGCACAAAAAACTATATTTAAATCACAGTTTTTTCACAGACTTAACAATTTGCTCGGCAATCAGTGTTCGTTTCCAGTTATTACAGGTCAGGGTGTGGCTGATCAGGTTTCATCTGGCAAGGAAATTCATTTGTTGCTTGTACATTGCTTAATTTCTCAATTGTTTAGTTATATCTCTCAGAAATGTTCAATTATTGTTCTGTAAAATAAAGCTGTCAAAATCATGAATTTTTTGACAGCTTTACATATTCATACTTTTATGCTAGTCGAGCGGGCACCCAAAATATTGATATTTTCAACAGGTGAAAAATAAAATGAAACTTACTTGACTATGCTGCAAATCATCAGGCGAAACTCTAAAACACAAAATCGTCACCAGTTTTACAGAAATAGACTAGAAAATATAGCTAACAGACAGTTGGAAAAGAGTCAAAGAACGCAAGGAAACGCAAGTCAAATTGAACTTCAAATAAGAATAATTGCTCTTAACCTCTTTGAATTTCAAGACACACAAAAAAAAACAATTTATAAGGCTTTGAGATACTTTTGAAGTTAACTTTATCAATCTTAACTTAAACTTCCAAATTATAGCCAACCGAAAGTTGGAAAAACGTAATAACAATGAAACCGAGAAAAAATTGATTGAAACAATTTCAACATTTTTCAACTTTCGAAGAAAAATATATATATATGGTTAAAGCTATTTCAATTTCAAGAACAGTATATGATTGACACTTTCTTTTTCTAAAAAAACTAACTTTCGGCAGCTGAATTCAAAATGAACTCAAACTATCTACCTAAGTGCATTCGTAAATGCATTAATATATCTGCAGTTATTCGAGTATTTTGAAGACTTTCTCCTGAAAAACAAAGACCTATATAAGAGTTTCACCAATAGACTCTTAACAACAGTCAAACAACACTCACATTTCAAATCGCTGTTTCCTTAACTCGCCGATCTTTTCATTGCGCCTGCTCTCCAGAATAGCGTAGTCGTTTCTGACATCCGTCAAAAAGAGAACCAACTCGTCCACCTGAATCACCACAACTCAAAAAATAAATGACACAAGGAATCACATGAAGTAAAGAAAAAAGCTCACGCAACTATCTGAATTCGAGAGAAAACACCTCTAAAATGGCTGCTCATCACGAACTCTTGATCAAAATTTGAGAGCCACAAAGTTTTGAAGTCATTAATAATTTGACTATTTGAGGCCACGAATTGAAACAGATTGCCAAACACGCTATCACTAAATCTTCATAGTTCATAAGTGTAATCCAAGTTATATTTCGAATAATTACACAATTTAATCCTTCGTAAACCTGTGACTTAAAAAGGCTTTCAGGAATTCGTCCTGATACGAACAGTTGTGTTTAGTGAAGGAATGCAAAGAAAGTGACAAATAAGTATCTTCTAACTGATACTAAGACCAAAAACTGACAGACAGCTGAATGTAAATACAAACAAGGATAGCCGGTTACTGTGCAAGTAGCACCATTTTTTTTAAATTAGTGTCGTTTTTTCCGCATGGTGTGATAAAAAGATCTGAACAAAAAAAGAACTTGGGCATACTTGAAATACATAGAAAAAAGCCATTCCGAAAAACGGTTTTTGAAGAAAATTCACGTGAAAATGTACAAAATGTACAACAATTTTTTTTAAAAATTGATTCATAATTTTTTTGCACAGAGATTTTTAACCTATGTTTACAAAAATGCGCTAAAAAAACTCAAGAACTACTTTTAGTGGAGTACAATTAAATTTTCATTGCTTAAAAATTGCTTACATAAGCTATTAAAAGCATACACGCTCACACCATTTTAGCTCGAAATTAGACGAAAAATCAAAAATTTCAAACCGGTTTTTCTCGACACTGAGAAAACTTTTGAAATTTTTCAATGTCGTTCGAATCACCATTGGAAGAGCTTTTATACGATATATCACTCAACCCTGTCCGATCATTGTTTGTGGTATCCGATTTTGCGTGGAAAACAAAGAAAAAAAGAAACCATAGCCAACTAACAGTTGGAAAAGAGTAATGAACGCAAGAAAACTGAAAAAAAAAACTGACTTAATTTTTCAAGAGACTTCAACTGTTTTTTCAGGCTCAAAATTAATTTTTCGCGATTTTTGATTTCTTTTTAAGTTTAGTTTAATTTCTTTTTTAAAAGGAAGGCAAACTTCACTTTTGAACAGCGAACGTGTAATGCTTACGAAGAACATGAGCGAATTTTTTCGAGAATGGAATTAAATTTTCAGATTTCCAGCGAAACAAAAAAAATTGCCCATTGATGCAAATTTCTCAAATTGTTTATTCTAAGCACACTTTTCTTCATTTTTACCTCTAAATAACGCTAATCAATTTTCATAACAATTGAGTATTATAGTAAGTGGAAAACACGGCACTTTTTCATAAACTTTGCTATCACATGGTTAAAATTGCCGGTGTCGTATATCCTTTGCTCTCGCGAAGGATTAATTAGTTATTTTCACGAAATAAAGTTTTCCTTCAAACGAGCGGCTACGTATTGCAACATAAATTCAGGGCAAGGAGAAAAAGCTCTAACTCACAATTCGGTCTCGACTAATAGCAGGTACTTCCGGTTCCGGCGGAGCAGCTTGCACAACCTCCTCCTCACTTGGAGCAGCAATCAATTCGTCCTCCTGCACCTGGCGAGGATCACTGAGTGACGTCATCGAATCCCTCCTCCCGTCACCCGGCGGCGAATTTGGCTCCCCTTGACCTCTTCTGTAGTATTCCTCCCGTGAGAAAGTACGATCCAGCTAAAATTAATTTTCTTTTTGCAATACCGGAAAATAAGAAAACTGGAATAATACTACAGAAATGCGGAAACCTATGCCCGAAAAAAGGCGTCAGCGTCATACGAGCAACAACCAATATCATGAGATCATTTTTGTCTTTCAACAATTTGAACGAATTGGGTGATTCAGATGAAAAAACATACGCTCCGAGTACAATGAATAAATTTTTGTACTTTTTGAAAGCAAAATTGATTGATGGCTAAGAAGTTTCATTTGAATTCACATGACATAAAACATCAATTTACCATGTGCCGATTCTACATCAACAAAAATAAAAAGCATAACTTTTAAGCTTCTTCCATCAAACAAAAATTGTCGTCAAAACTGTTAATCGTAAATACCTGTAACTTTCTGTACACGTGCAAGTCTCGTTCCTCCTGCAACCTCTCTTCTTCGGTGCCCGGTAAAAACGCCTGGTCTTTCGGCTGCAAAACATTCCCACCGCCACGTCTGTTCTTCTTAGACGAACTCCTGGATCTGAAAGGCAGTTTTCCCCTAATTTCTAATATATAATGATTCATGATGTTAAGAGAAACAAGCGTTCAAAGTACCGAATAATGAATAAAGTGAGATACTTCAATCAATTGTCGGATATCATTGACTTGAAAACTGAACACTATTATGATGATCATTTAATGAATTATTCGCGTTTTTACCAGCGAACATAAGAGTACAGACCTCTTTGGAGAGGGCCGACTACTTCCTGCATGTTCCTCGTTCGGACTGCTAATCATTGAAGTGAGAGGCACTCGCGAGGGGGGCTCGTTGTTTCGCCGAATTGTGTTCTCGTGCTCACTCGCATAACTCGAGTGATCTGTTCTGTTTCTCGGCTGGCTGTTCGCTCTATCTCGTTTCACAGATTCTCTTGTTTTTTCTAGGGGATCAATGTATTCCTACACCAAAAACAAACAATTAAATGCAAATAAAATCTCAAAAAAATAGCCCATAGACAGTTCGAAAAGAGTCAATAAACGCAAGGAGACAAAAATCTTGAAAAAATTTCAACTCTTCAAATTCAAAGTAAAAACAAGGATAGCCGGTTAATGTGCAAGTATCACAGAATGTTCCGACCATAGTCTCTAGAAAACTACGGTTTAGAAAGTCTTTTTTTTCCAAATTAGTGTAGTTTTTTCTGCCTGCTTTGATAAAAGGATCGAACGTAAATATATAATTTAGGCATATTAGAAAGTCATTGTAAAAAATCAACTTGGACAAAAAGTTCTGTAAAAAAATTACTAGAAAAGCTATAAATAAATTTTAAAAATGAAGCTTAAAAACACCAAAAACTAGCTTTACTTGCTTCAAATTAGCTTTTAAGGTCTTACATTATGCACATTTGCAGACTGCAGCTGTTGTAAGCCCGCTCGCTTGCTTTAATCACCCGAATTAAGAAAAAAAATCAAAAACTTCAAACCGGTTTTCTCGACACCAGAAAAATATTGGGATTTTTTTAATGTGGTTCAAACCATGACTTAAAGGGCTATAATATGATATATTACTCAACCCAGTCCTATGATTATTTGTTGCACCTGATTTTGCGTGGAAAACACAGAAAAAACTAAAACACAACCAAATACAAAGCTCCTCCCCATTTTCAAGGGTCGGAACAACATATATGGCCTGAAAGCTCTGAACCTAGAAAAAACTTATGATGGACACTTTATTATAAATAAATAACTCTTTTTGAGAAAGTTGGATGAATAGAGGAAAATTTTATTCAGCTGGGTAATCTGAAAATAAAATCTTTTTCGAAATTAGAACTCGATAACGTTTTTTCGTGACCTATCAGAAAAAATCAGAAGTAGTCATAACGCAAAAAAAACAATTTGAGCGTCAACCAAATTAGAGACTTTTCCTGAAAAAAAACACGAACTAAATAAAGTCTTCACTACGTTCATCGAGTCTTAAAGGGGATTATCAACTAAGTTTATATTACCCTAATTAGTAGGCATGCCAAATTTTGTCTTGTTAATTTTCAATTTTAAACAACATAGCCATTTTGAACACACTTGCTTTTGTTCCGACTTTCGAACGAAAGTAAAGGATTATTTGTGCTCGGGTGGGTTTTTTTTTCTTCAGACAAATTTCGACTTTTTAACTAGCCATTTTGACGGATTTTTTTTCATCATTCAGAAGGTATTGTTGTCCTGAGCTTAAATTTGAAAAGATAATTCACCTGTGATCATTTTTCGTAAAATTATGTGGGTTTAAAGATTGTCATTTTGGCCAATTTCGAACAATTAAATCACGATATATTTCGCGCTATTAACGCATAAGCGGAGATTAAATCTTTCCTAGAAATAGTTTGAAATTGCTTGAAAGAAGCTCATTTGCCATAACTGATTTGTTACTATGACCGAAAACTACTTAGTACTTTATAAGGCGGGTGGGGCAATTTTTTCACAAAAAAACCTCAATTAAAAAATAGCCAATCGAAGATTGGAGAAGGGTAATGAACGCAAGTAAACATAAAAAACACTGAATTTCTTGAAAAAAGTAACTTATGAACTTCAAACAAAAAAGTAGATGCCCTTTAAGCACTTTGAATTTCCAGAACAGTTTATGATTGGCGCTTTTTTGATAACATGAACCCAACTTGATAAAACTGGATCAATAGGCAAAATTTTTATTTCGTTGGGAAATCTGAAAAATAAATCCCCCTTTCGAAGCCAGAAATCATTCACGTTTTTTCGCGCTATTTCCACGTTCGTTATTGGAGAGTGCTATTTACTTCACTTTCAGCAGATGAACTTCAATTGAACTGAAAAAGTGCATTATACCTAAGAGCATTAAAATTTTTTACACAAAATCAAACAAAAAAAAATCAGCAAGACCTATACAAGAGTCTTCACTACGTTCATTACTGTTAAAAAAACTTCAATTTATTTTTATTGCATTAGTTTTTTTCATGTTATTACTTCTCCATAGACCTTAAAATGCAGCCGGAACATTCGAGCAGTCTTGTGCATACGAGCAGTCTTGTGCATACTTGACAACGAAATGACACGCATTCAACCATACAAGCCCTCACACATACAATTTTTAACTATAAAACACTGTTTCAAAGTTGCCAAATAGCAATTCTATTTTGCTGTGTGAACATGCTAGCTATTCCACATTTTTTCTTCAGACTTTATAATGAATTACCACTAGTATCACGCATTGAGCCATAAAACAGCATGCATAAATTTAATGAAAATGAAAAATTTGCAATGCAGGAGGGAGAGTTGGAAAGAACACGTTTGTTAGTAACTTGACATAATGAACAAAAAATAGACCAATAACAATTCGCATGCGGGGAGAAAGGAGAGGAGACTCTGAATTAGCATTATCGGGTTAAATGTAATAAATCCATTTTATAAAAAAAGGCCTCATTTGACAATTAAATAGCCATCAAAAAGTTTGAAACAGAGGTTAAGCTGCGGTTCGTAAACACTAGCGAGAAAACGAAAAAACTCAGCTCTACAAAGTGAAATAAGAAAAAGAAAAAATAAGCCTCAAATTAGTAATACTTTTGCTACGCGACGACTTCGAACCAGCGATCTGGGAATTAAGAGTCGCATGCCCTTTCCGCCCTATGCTATAGATTGTAATTATAGCAAAGGACCCACCAAATTGAGCACTTTAATTTGCGAGTTAGGTTTTAAAAAAGTAGGTTCATACTAATACACTACGCGCGCAAGCTGTCTACAAATATTTCAAGGAAACCGAAAAAAAATGATTGATTTTTTTTTCAAACTTGGTAAATCGGAGAAAAAAATTATCACACGAAAGCCCTTTGTCTTCTTAAAATGTCATCTTAAAATTTTATAAAAAAACTAACCCAAATAAAGAAGTTTGGGACAGGAGGTAAGATTTTCATTCCGCTGCGAAATCTGTTAAAAACATTTCGTGTTTTTATACTTTAGTAATAGGAGAGCGAAATTTTCCTTGCTTTTAGCAAGTTAAATGAAATTAAACTTGAAATCAAAAATCAAACTGCGAAAATGGAAAATTTTGAGCGTATCAAATGTGAACAAACTTTCCTGAAAAAACTTCATTTCGTATATTGGCACTTACAAACTTTAATTTAGTTTTCCAATCATCAGTGCAATAAATTTTACAGTTCTTATCGTTTTAATTTACAGAACATCATTTCATACCCTGTAGAGGACAGTTCTTTCGATTTGCCTGCCCCGTTCGTCCATGCCCCTCTCGATCTGCGGTTCAGACTCAGCTGTTACAATCGGCTCAGAGTGCATGGGGTCGCCCACTTGCTCTGAAGGCGATAAATGAAGGGGAACGACTTTCGCTTCGGATAATCTGATCGGGTCTTCCATTGGCGATCTGTTCTCTTTGTTGTAATAAGGTCTGTTTTGAAAATGATGTTGCTGCAGCACGAATGGCTTGGGATCTCTGAAATTTATTTTTACGGTTTCCAATGAAAATTACGACACATTCATAAAGCTGAGCTTTGCACGACTTGCGATACAAAATTGAATGAATATAAAAGAAAAACAAATTAAAAAAATTTTGACACAGAGGCGAAGTTGCACTTCCCATACGCAAGCAAAAATATGACCGATGACGCTACTGGGAAAACTGAATGAGTAAAACTTCACAAAACTTCTTAAAAGACGCACGCCAATTATGAGTCTATATAATTGCTAAGTGACGCTAGCCAATTATGCCGCATTAGCAGAACCAGTCAATTGAAAAAAAAATTACCAAACAACATGCCTCAATTTATAGAGAGAACGCATTTTAGCTAGTATACGAAAAAGTTCATTAAAAACATCCAACGCTGCCCAGGTTCACGAAAAAGTTCATTAAAAAAGTTCGAAAAAGTATACAAAAAAAGTTCAATTAAAAACATCCAACACTGTCCAGCCTTATCTTATTGAGGGTCTCCTTCCCTACCTCTACGCTACAGGTCCATCATACCTTGAAGCTAAAGTGCTATTTGTATTATAATAGTCTGTGCTAACACCCTTAGCATTGACTGTACTTAATAGCTGGTTATTGATCAAATACGCTTTCAAAATGAACACATTTTGTCGCAACAATATTTGCGACTTAGGTTGGAAAAAGAGACCTCATACTAAAACAAAAGCTTTGCTTGTGTAAACAAAGGAAATGAATAGAACTTAGAAAAAAAATAAAAATCAAACCACGCAAAAAAAAGTTTGAGCCTGAACAAATTTGAAGTCCTTTCCTGAAAAAAAAAAACGAAAGAAATCGTCGAGACATATATAAGCTTCTGAACTTCGTTCATAGACTCTTAAAAAAAGTTGAGAGAACAACAGTTTTTGGAATTCTTTTCTTCAAAATTGATGACTGTCCCGCATATTGCGCTTCTAAATTATAGCCCAAAAACAGTTAGAAGTGTTTATGAATTCAAATAGAAGAGGGAAAAACGAATTCAAAATGAGATCAAAGAAGGAAATATCAGTGTTAGGCCCTGGAAATTTCAAAACTTAAGTACTAACTTTTTGATAAATTTAGAGTATGATTTAAATTTGAGTATGAATTTGAGTATGAATTAAATTTGAGTATGAAGAACTTAAAGACTTCTTCCTGAAAAAACACACGTTCTAAATAGATATCTCGCTTTAAAAAGAATTAAAAATTAAGAAAAAGCGAAATTAGAGAATAAACAATGAAAATGGAGCTTAAATGTGAGCTCAATTTTGCTCCCTCTCCAGTGTGTTTGAATAGGATTGAGATTTCCGAATTTTCTTTTGGAACCCGAGTCTCGGCTCATCGGACTTTAATATGATGCCACACTTGCCCCTCTGCAGGTTTTTCTTGAAGGTTACAAGTTGGAAAAAAATCCGCACTAAACCATAGTTCTTTCTACTCACTCCGAGGCGTCGTCAAGACTCAAAGAAACTACAATGTTTTTGCTTACGCTAAAGGCTGTGCTGCCATTCGCAGCGCATAGACCCAGCGTGATCGGGCCTCTTGTGATTGGGCTGCAAAGTAAAGCGTCTTCTCCGAATCTTTCTCCAGCTGAAAAGCAAAAATCTATGATTTTTAACTTTCATAAGAGAACTATTGTGCATCAAAACTGGTATAATAGCCGTTTTATTCACGGTGACTAACTAAAACATAATGCGAGCTTTCTTGGTCTTTACCGTTACAAGTTCTAAAAATATTTATATAGAACCTCATACTTGTACGAACGACTTATATTCGTACGTCATAAAAGTAGATCGTATTCGAAAAAATTAACCGTATAAAAATAATTGTTATAACAAGTAAAACCATTTTTGGCGCCAACCTTGAAAGAAAATCTCTCGTATGCATCACTCTTCGGCGTTGGAGTGACCAGATAACCGATTAATTCAAACACAGCTCTTCGTGCATTTTTGTCGGCAGATTTGCAAACGACCAATTGCTTGCCCGAAATGAAACACCATCTCTCGTTCCAGTTCGACTTAATGTTCCTGATACCTCTGCGCTCATCTCGCAACAGCCAGCCCTGGAGCACTTTCCCACCAGGGTTGCTAACAATTGGCAGTCCAGACACCGGATCGTAGTTTCCAAAATCACTCACGTTCATTTCCCTGGGACGATTCAATTCACTCAAACTAAACACAACTCACAAGTTTGAGCCAAATAGCATGAAAGGGACATTAAAAGGAGTTTATGTAAGGCGAAAATTCTGCTCATATCTTTTGGGCTCTTTGTAGGCAACAAAACAGGAAGCCGTTGTAGGACGCCACAAAATGAACGAATGAATAGAAAACTTGACACTATTTATAGCTGATGGAATCTGAGACACCTCGTTTTTTTAACAAATTTTATCAAAGCGCTCCAAAAATGCGTTCGTATACTCACTCGTATTCACTGCGGTAATTATGTCTTGTAGCAGCAGGATGATTCAGTTCCCTGCCCACATTCGGTTCTTGCTGTCTCAACAACGTTTCCACGGATTGGGTTCTTCCAGCTAGCCGCAAATCCTGCAATGAGATGCCCTTGTACTTCGAACCACTCAGTTCGAAATCTCTTTCCACAGAATAGCTTCTGTCTCTTTGATGTGATGTGTCGAAATCAGGATCCCGGTTGTCGTAGCCTTGTGACAGGTCAAATTGTGATTGCGCTCGACGGGGGTCTGGAAATCTTTCCTGATCAGCGCGTCGTGTCTCGTCAAACGAAGGGTTTAAGGCTACTGAATGTCGACTCTCTGGAGGACCACGAGTCGACTCAAGGTGTCCAGAATCCTGGAAACTGCGAGACTTATCAGAATTGTAGCTGCTATCAACAGGTAGATTATCAGGTCTTGATCTGCTGATGTTGCGATCTGAGGGAAAGCTGTTCTGATGAGCTTGTCTCGGGGGATAAGCTTCGATATCTTCTCTTCGTTGATCTGCTGACTGCCGATCATGAAAATCTGGATTGTTTGAGTATCTGAAACACAAGATTTAATGCTTGAACTATTTTAGAGAGACAATCGTTTGAAACAGCCAATTGGAGATGTGTAAATGAATTCAGGTGAACGAAAACAACTTACTGACAACTCTTACTCAAAATTTTCCCTTACGAAAAATTTTCCTTACTCGCCTTAAATTTTTTGAAAGACCAAAACTTTTAACACAGAGGCGAATTTGATTTCGCACTAATTGTCATACAAATTAAAAAGCCGAAAATCAAAAGATAATGTGTCTCAAACGAAAAGTGAGGAAGTTAAATAAATTCTGTTTAGGAAATCGAAGGATAAAATCAATTACCTGCAACATAAAGAGAATTCGGGATACATAAACTCCGTTCATTTCTTTCTCAGAACCAATAGATGGAACGGAGAAGAAAAACAATGTTGGCCAAAACATCGAGATCCAAAAGATCCTATATGTACTGAAACACTTTACTTAAAAGTTTGCACCCAAGTTACCTTCATATCCTACAGGAGCATTGTGGCGTAAGAAAATCAATTTCCGTTATTTGTTAAAAGAAAATCCGCAAACCTCTCTGAGCTTATAAAAAAAATTCAATAACAACAAGCTTATCGTAACTGAAGTTGGTTATGCGAGCTGGATCACAAAAAAAAGATAACAAAACAAATCATAGTCAATAGACAGTTGGAAAAGAGCAAACGAACGCAAATAAACAGGCTTGTTTTTTGAAAAAACAACGTTCGAAATTCGAAAAAATAGACGGCCTTAAAGCTCTTTGATTAACTTAACTCAATTTGATAAAACTGGATTAACAGTTTGAATTTTTATTCGCCAGGAAATCTGATTAGTAAATTCCATTTCCGGAATTAGAAGACAATCACGTTTTTTGACACCTTAAAACTTCATCGCTGTTCAACATTTGACAACTCGCTGTTTAATAGTCGAGTTTGCCTTCCATTCAGCAAAAGCAACGAAGTGAACAAAAAAAATCAAACCGCGAAAAATTAAATATGAGCCTGAACAAGTTTTACGATTTTAAAATGAAAACGAAAACAAAATCAAGACGTACAAATGAGTCTGAACTACGTTCATTGACACTAAAAAACACTCGTAAATGAAATTTTAAAATTATGATATTAAAAAATAAGCATTCCATCAACTTGAATCGACTTGATGAAAAATGAAGAATCTTAAAGCTCAGCAAAAAAATTAAAACTAAAACTAAATCTACGCACGTATAGATCTAAACAATGAATCAGTGACAATGTATCCGAAAAAAACTGAAAATTTAAAGCTTTACTTTTTTCATAATTTAAATGAACTTTTCTTTACAAACAGTATGATTGCCGTGCAAAAAAAAACAAGAAACTATGAACTTATTTTACACACTGGAAAATTTTTAAAAAACTCTGAAACATCTTCCAGAAAAGTTATAGAAATAAAACACCTGGCAGGTAAGACGACGAAAATTGGGACGAAATCAAAAAAAGCCGACAAAAAATACAAATATACCTGAAAATTTTCAAGATCTAGACCCACTACTAATTCAGTAATTTTAGACCAGCTGTTCAAATATATCTGGTACACTATAGCTGTTAAAGGCACAACTTGGGTAGAAATGGAGATCTTGAAATTGGAGATCTAATCCTCTGAAAAAAGTTATTAACGAGAAAAAGTCAAAACCGATTGCAATGACCTTGCTTGTCGCAAGGATGAAGTTAGACACTTTTTCTGATTAAGCCAACCCAATTTGAGACACGCAGTAATCGAAGACGCGATAGGAAGTTTTCAGAAAAAGTCCAGTGAGCAAAATAGCGCTCCTGATGCGATCCGAACCACTGACCTTTGTCTCCCCAAGCAAGGACGTTACCTTTTTGACTTAAAAGCAAAAATGGAAACTAGAACTTTGCATGTTAATTAGGTTAACCCAGGAGATCAGAATAGCCCCAATAAAAGTTTTCATCAGGAAAACAATCAGGTAAGATTAAATAAACTGTATATCCCAAATTACCATTTGGGATAAACAGTTGGAAAATTGGAACAGCTGATGAAAAAGAAATCTTGAGTCTAGAACGGAAATATTTGGCCAATGACCCTGCCTCAGCATAATTTAGATTGATTTATCAAACGCTTTCGGATTGGGAGAAACTCGCCTCGCTCTAAGAGTTTAGCCTGAAACATGAGTGCTTAAAAGCCAGCTAGCATAATTTAGTTCAGCAATTTAATCAATATCAACTATCCTAAACTTCAATAGCATAAAGGCTATCAAAAAGAACCTATGGCGAGTAGGGCAACAAATTCTCAACGCGGTGCACCCGATATGGAAAATGAGGAGAATAAAAAACTCTATGCTAGTCTTACTCCCAAACTAAAAAAAAACTAAATATCGATACAAAATAGTGAATCATGTGAACTCTAATAAAATTTCATTTGTTGAAGATGCAAACAGTCTCTCAAGATTGAAATTTTGAGTTAATTACATTGATGTAGCTACTAAAAACTAAATAAATTAATAACTTCTATCTTGTAATGATCAATCTTTACGTAGCAATAATCAGCAAAAAAGACTATTAATATGAAAAATGTTTGTAGTTGCGATTCTCAGGAACTATAGTTTAGTCGTATTTTTTGTCTTATTCTGATTTTTGTCTTATTTTGATTTTTGATTATTCATTAAAAATTACTGCAGCTAAATAACAATTATTTGTTAAAAAGTTGTACCCAATTTCTTTTTTCAGTAAAAATGTTTAATTAGATTCTTGAGTGTAGTTGCAATTTTTAGCTTGCTCAAAAGATAAAAATCTTTCTCTGGTTGCGATTTTCAGCAACGAGAATTGAAAGTTATCTAAACTAAGTAAAGCCTCATAGTTGCTATTTTTAGTAGTTATCTTGAAATGAACTAATTTAATTTTCAAAGTAGAAAAACGACGTAAATCAGAAAAAGTTACAATACAGTTTGTGAATCAAATGTTGAAAAAGATTGAATCAGATAAACATTCTCAGATGTAAAAGGAAAACTGTGATTCGCAGCTTCAGATCAAAACACTTTAAAAAGAAAACCAAAATAAACATGATTTAATTTCAATTTTGCGCTCTGACAAATCAATGAAAAGATAGAGTTGAACAAAGAAATGAAAAGGTATGCATGCTTGCTTTTCACAACCCCTAATAGGCATTCAATATGTTGTTAAGTCCATTTCTAGGCTCCTAGTTAATTATTAAAAGTTAGATAGCAGCGAATATTAAAAATGAGAATAATAACACTAAATTATACAAAAAGTACCTGAACAAAAAGAGTGTTTTGAATGAAAAAAATCCAGAAAAAAAAATTTAAAAGCTTGTGTCAAAAATTAAAAAGAATTTTCTGTGAGAGGTCACTTGAAAGCAACAGCGATGAACATTCAAAAAAAATTCATGAAGTCAAAGATGAGAAGGATCAGAAAGAAGCAAGCAATTGGTCAGATGTTACTCGAAAATAATACAACACAAAAATTTTGAAAGTAGAAATTGAAAATAACTTTTTTGACAACAAATCACCTCAAAAACTTAAAGAAGTAATTAAGTACATTAACAATAAAAATAGAATTGCCATTTAAAACCGAAGTAAAAATCAAATCAAATAAATTAGTCAGGTTATTTCTAAAAAGCCTTTTTTAATCAATGTGTAAAGTTATCCTATTATCCTTCACTTTTTCAGACTTCCAAAATTCAAAAAATTCTTGAGAAGGGGCAAAATGTCAGATTGTAATGACTACCGAATTATATTTCTCCTACCATTTATGATGAAAGTTTTTGAAAAATGAATAAATTATCCTATGAAAATTTGTCTGAAAAAATATAATGCATTAAAACCATGTCAGCATGGATTCCGAAATAAAACACTACAGTTGACGTGATCAAAGAACACATAAAAAATAGTGGAAAATATACAAGAAAAAATTGGCTCCCGCATTAACAATAAAACATCCTACAACGGCGTTTGACATTTCTGATCACAAAATATTATAAGAAAGATACAGTTTAAGAGGAAATTTTATTCTCAAATTTAAACAACTTGAGAATCGTTAACAGTAAGTTAATTATAAAAATGTATACTCAGAAACCAAAACAAAAATTATACAGCACAATTTTCACCCTAGTTCCGTTATTACTTTATATAAATGATTTGTTACGTAAAAGCAGAAAAACAACAGGAAAACACTGATACCAGTAAGGTTGAAACTTGGATTTTAGAGAACAAGCTCACCAAAAAAGAGTGAAACAGTACTAAAGCCTAGTAATTGATGGAAAGTTCAACTTCTAAACACGTCGATAAAACTTTTAAAGGGGCACCTCAGATAATACTTCAATAACTCTCCGTTACACTGGATTTACAAAACATATATTCAACCATAATACCAATATAGAGTACTGATCTAAAGCACAGCTTAAGAGGCGTACTAAAGACCGATACAAAGCCAGCAAAAATTTGTATGACGAAACTGTTTCAAAATTTAAGAGGCGAAGCTTGGCTTTGCAAACACGTGCCAGAAAACTAGAAAAAACTGCAAAAAGTTCAATAATGAAAATTAGAAATCAGCCTCGGAGTAGCAAAAATTCGGTTGATTCTGAGATTCGAACCTCCGACCGAGAGACTAATAGTCTCACGCACTAACCACTCAGCCATGGCAGCTCGTCATACGCCAAACAAAAGCCACTAGAAAAGCAGAGAGCAGATGCTAAGCAATTACCAATCGTAGAGTTAAAACTCCAAATAAGTGAACATTTTATTATTTGCGAAATAGCTTAGAAAAAAAGTTTCTTAACAACACACTACGCTGATCGCTAGTGTAAAAATGAGAACTAAAAAATAGAAATAAATTGGGGACAAACAAAGTCTGTCTGGTTAACGAGTTACATGTCTATGAACTTTATAAACTCATGGTTAAAACTGAGACAATTTTTTGGAATTTAACAAATTCATGAGTACATATGTGAATAAGGAGATAACATGTACTATTAAAACAGAAAACACGTAAAATAAGGAACAAACTTCGCAGGTGAAGTAAGTTAACTCGAAGAGCAAAAAAAGAAAATGGGGTATGTATTTTATGTGATAGTTTTTACAGTTGGATACAGATATTCTCCTTGAAGCATCAACAATTACCAATGACTTTTTGGACTCATTTTTTCAGGAGATAAGAGACATATATAAATGGGAAAACAAACAATTTTTAAGAAAGTCATATCAATTTTCCATGCCTTTGCTATAATTTTTTTGGTCATCTTGTGTTGATTAAACAACACTTAGGAAATGAATTTTTCTCAGTTTTCTTTTTTTTAATTCATGATTTTCGAAGAATTTTTGCAGTCCTTTTCGAGTACCGTGTATATGATTCAAATAATTTCGAAAAAAACAGTAGGCGAATAGATTTTGCTCATGGAGATTCCACCCGGCAGGCTGATGTCTTTTTGGTATTTTCCCAAGCCGAACTACATTGTAAACGCACAATTTGATAGAATGTATTAAGTTTTGGCTTGAAAATATAATTATTATTAACAGTGGCCGCGCAGGTTGCGCAGATTTTTAAACAATTGAGCTCAGGGCTTTGATATCTACAAAAGGGTATGAAAATACCTTCAAAAACTAAGGGTACGAAAATGCCTTCAAAAACTATAATGAAATAAGCGATTTAAAAAATGAACTGACCATTAGCAATGAGCTCGCAATCTCGATTGGCTGGAAACTGGCTCAAAAATCTTAATTTTCTGAATTATTGAAATCAAAATGTCAAACCGCGAAAAAAAATTGAGCCTGAACAACTTGAAAGAAAACAAAAAACACCGACCTGAACAAGTGAGAAATTACTCATCGCTTATCGACACTTTATTCAAGTGCTGAGCCAAAAAATTGCAAGACTCTGATTAACTTACTGGTTGCACGTAAAACTAAGAAGTTTCAACTTAAAATCAACCGACCTCGGTTGCTGTGGATCGCGTCTGTCAACTCTGGGGGATAGTTGATACTGTTGGTAGCTGTTGTGACTGACTCCGTTCTGATCTGGCCTTTGAGGTGGTTTATTCGGATTAGGGTTAGAAATGAGCTTAAATATAGAAGTGTCAGCGGCTGGCAGTCGCGAAGTTGGATGATTGAACGTAGTTGTTCTGTTGATGTGACTAAACCACACAAAAACATTAACTGACTTAACTAGTAAGCAAACCAAACAGCCAACAGACAGTTGGAAAAGAGCCATTGAACGCAAGTAAACAAGAAAAAAATACCGAATTGTTTTTTTGAAAAATTTCAACTTCCGACTTTGAAAAAATGGCCTGAAAGCTTTTCGCAATTCTATAACGATTCATGATTGAAACTGGATCAATGGGTAAATTTTTGATTTCGCTGGGAAATCTGAAAATTAAACTCAATTTTTAAAACTAGAAGTCAATCACGATGTTTTTTGTGACCTTTACACTTTCGCTGTTCGATTGAGGAGCTTGCCTTCTTTTCAACAAAAGAAATGAACTGAACTTAGAGAGAAATCAAACGTTCAATCGCTAAAAAGTACTTTCCTGAAAAAAAATCATCACGACCTATATAAGAGCCTGAACTACGTTCTTCTTCCGATTTTCGAATACGAAAAATGGATGGCCTTAAAGCTCTTTGAGTTTCGACAACAAATTATGATTGACACTTTTTAATATAATTTAAAAACTGGATCAATAGGTAAATTGTTTTGCTGGGAAATCTGAAAAATCAATTCCACTTTGGAAACTGGAAGTCAATCACGTTTTCTGTGTTCGTTACATTTGTGCTGTTCGATAGAGGAGTTTGCCTTTCTTTTAACGATGGAAAAGACCTGAACTTGAAAAGAAGATCAGAAGTCAAACCGCAAAAAAAATTGAGCCTGAACACACTTTAAAACTTCCTGAAAAAAAGAGAAAAAATCATTACGACCTATATAAAAGTCTATAGGTCTAGAGCTTGGCTTTCTAAATTTCAAGCTTTCTACATTTCTACTAAAAAAACATAACGCGACATAATTGAAACTATGATTGAAGTATAACAAAAAAAATTACTCTCAAAGGCGTGCGCAGGAAAATCGGAATTTGGGAACCTCTATGAAATCGACCAATTTGATTTTTTGGTGACCTCGAAACTCGATGAATACCAGAATTTGTTTGACGTTTTTGGGCCCGTTTCAATAGATTTTACGAAAAAAAAGATGTTTTTGGCGCGCTTCCATCTCAAATTTAAACTATATTGGCGCGGTTAGAAAAATTTTAGGGCTGGTCAACCAAGAATGCTTTTGACCACAGAAAAACAATTAAAAGACTATCTGATCATTAAACTAACCTGTAATATATCTCACTCTATGTTGCAGCAGCTCACAAAATAATATAAGTCTAACAGAGTACGGTTTACCATGAGCAATGGTTTACAGGTTTAAATTATTACACAGCGGCAAAACGTTTTTGATTTTCATGTATATCATTGCTTTCTTTTCAAGTTACGCATCAAAAAGCACACAAAAGCTTCGTAATTATTAGACCGTGCTGAGCAGAAGCCAAAAAATTGTTCACATGTTTGTAACTCAAGCTCTAAAACTAGCAAGTTTTTTCAAATAGGTCTCTTTTCGCTCTAATGAAATATCATCTTAATTGTTCCACTAACAGCAATGCACACCCCACCTATTCGGTAAAACCCCACTTATTCCAAAAAAAATCAGAGCTTGTGTAAACTTAAGGAAAACTAATTATTTTAACAAACATAGCCAACTGACAGTTGGAAGAGAGTAATGAACGCAAGAAAACTGAAAGAAAACGACTTGTTTTTCCAAAAATCTTCAACTTTTGAATTTCGAAGAAACAAATAGATGGCCTTAAAGCTCTTTGAATTTGTAGAACAATTTATGATGGACACTTTTTTGTTATAATTGACCAATTTGAGAAAACTGTATCAATAGGTAAAACTTTGTTTCGCTGGGAAATCTGATAATTAATTTCCATTTTCGAAATTAGAAGTCGATCACGTTTTTCGTGAAGTTTAAAATTTTGCTGTTCGATAGTGGGGTTTGCCTTCCTTTTAACAAAAGAAAAGAAATGAACTTAAAAAGAAATCACAAGTCGAACCGCGAAAAATCAAAATTGAGGGTAAACAGATAAAGACTTTTTCCAGAAAAAAAAAACAAAAAATCAGCAAGACCTATACAAGAATACTCACTACGCTCCTTACTCTTAATAAATGCATCGTTTTCAGATTCATTCAACTTCAGATTCACTCGTTATGCTTGGTGCTGAAAAGTACTTCCTTAGATGGGCTCTTTTCCAGTTTCCCACCCCTCTCGTAAAATTACAAAATAAAGCTGTTCATAAATTGTTCACACGGTAATTTGAATGCTAGAAATCTTGCAGAAATTTGTTCACCTGTTCACGCTGACACGTTTTAATGGAGTTTATAACATCAAAAGTCATTTTAAATCGACTTTCATTTAACGGATTTCAGAAAAAATCAAGGGGGAACTGGAAAAGAGCCCTTAGATGCAGTAGGGTTCATTTCTGATGCTTAAAGCTTTAGTTTTCAAGTCAACGAGGAGTTCTTCTAAGAGAATTGAGACGAACAAGTTCAGTATAAAACTGGTATTCAACAATATAATGATAGCGTTTTCCAATAAAACTAATAACTAATAGAAGAAGAAGAAGAAGAATTAATTTCACTTAACAATCAGATACACTATTACATTAAACAAAAAGTATATTTTTTATCACATAATAAATGAAGGTATAATGAATTCAAAATTAACCGATGCGAAGCTGCACTTCGCAAACACAAGAGGAACGAAACAGCAAAAAGGATTACAGAAACACACCATATCAGAAATTACTCCTCCCAAGAGTTACTAGTCATGGCGTGGTGTTGTTTTCAACTAATGCATGTTACTGTTAGATACCAGGCAGCAAATAATGCGCTCTGATGAAAAACATAGCTAGATATGCTGTTTAATTACCTAATAACCTTTCACTAAATTGACCGACTTGAGTTGTAACTCGCCCATCTTGCGATGCAGAGAAGGAATAAATAAAAAACAAAATGTGGAATCAAATTGTACAGTAAGCTGATAAAGAAACAAACACTCATCCAGAACAAAAAAAAATCAAAATGATGAAAACCAAGTCATTCCAGATTTCCACACAGAATCGAAGCTGCGCTTCGCAAACATGAGCAAGAAAACAACAAAAAGCAGCTATGAAAAGTGGATGCAAGCTTCGCCTTTAGAAAACTTTTACTTTCTTCTGTATTTGAACCTGCAATCTCGAAACTTGGAGTCTCACGTCCTTCCCTCTCAGCCACAAACGCTTTAACAACGACAAACATTAGCCACCAATAAAGCAGATAAAACATGTTTTGAAAACTCCGAAGCTACCGCAGATTGAGATTGCAGAAGAAGTGACACAAAATTAGCACTTTTCTTGCGAGTTAAAACATACGTTGAAAACAAAGTAGAGCCATACTAAAACACTACGCTCACAAGCTCGCTTGTTGAAAAAAAAGGATATCTAAAAGTATCACTACTTAAATGTAAGAACCAGCTGAACAGCCAGGATTATATGGTAAAAAATAAGAACAATCAATCAACATTTAGTACGATGTAAAAGATAATATTAATTTGTTGTCATATCAGAGATTATTTAATAGACATTTGTAAATTAACATAATTCTGATATGCAGGGACGTCAAAGGCCCGATAGGCCTAGTCAGGTGATGTCTTAATTAAGCAGTGCAGTTTCTAAGAAGTACTAAGAAGATTCAACTGTAAAGTACTACCAGTTGTCCAAACCCTACAATCCCCCTCTATTATATCTTTATTATTTGTGATGTTTAAAAAACGAAAATCATGGAAAAATATGCATAATTGAATATATTTAGAATTGTTGACTGTTTTAAGGAAAAATTGATTAAATTGAATAGTTTTCTCATCCGTACACCTATTCTTTTAAGACTTTTACCAGCGTAATTATCCGTTGGTATGGTTTTTTTTAAAACTCTTCTAGGTTTCAATATCTCAACCTCCAAGTCCACAATTGAATTTTTTAGGAATTCAGTTTCTAGACTCTTACGTAAAAGATTAACTAAAGTTTTGAAAACCATCTTGTGTGCAATTCTTTCACTGAGCACTATCTTGTGCGTTTCTTGAAAATATGTTACTGACTGGTATCTCCTTTTTTTCACTTCAAGTTTTTGTAGTGAAGTTTTATTAGCCTTGACGTACACTATAAAACCATATTGCAGTATTGGCTGAAGGCGACTGGATTAGGTTTTAATTAGTTGTGCTGTCGTTTGTACGTCACGTAATCGGTAGAAAAACTCACAAAAAATATTCATTTTCTGACAAGAAAGTCAATGAAATTTGAAATCTACTTTTGCATCCATCTGAAAACCCAAATACTTAGTATAGAGGCCTTTTTAAAATCATCGATTCCTATTTTTATTTGGTCTGTTCCTATGATTATTTTCCTAATAAAATTTATGTTTGTTGTTTTGTCCTGGTTCAGAGTTAGCTTAGTGATTTTCAGACAATATCCAATTTCTGATAAATCCTCATTGCATTGGTGTAAGTTTTGTTCTTTTTGTTTCACTGCTGTCTTCAATGAGTTTGTAATCGTTGGTAAATCATTTATCATTAAAATGAACAGTAGTGGCCCGAGGACTGATCCCTAATGCTCCACAGTGAATAGTTTTTAATTTCGACATTTCGGAGCCTTATTTGACTACTTTTGATCTATTTGTCAAATAAAACTTCAACAAGGCCTGTATGGGACCTCGCAGACCGCAGTTCTCAGCTTTTTGTAGAGGGTGAGATGAGAAATGCACCAAACGCTTTTTTGAGATCTATGAAAATTGCATGTGTTACAATAGTGTTCAATTCCCAATAATTTCGGATATATTCGATGGAGTTTAACAAAGCATCTTATGTAGAAAAATTAGGTCTGAACCCAAATTGGTTTTTGGCCATGTTAATATGTTTATCTAAGAAATCAATAATGCGTTTATGGAGTAACTTTTCGATAATTTTGCTGAAAACTGGTAAGAAAGAGGTATTGGCTTATATTTATCAGGACCTTTTTTTGTTCCACTTTTATGAATTGGTATTACTTTGGCTACTTTCAGACAGACTGGA